TAAAAAATTTCGCATTTTTTCCAAAGAACTTGCCACTGATGAGCAAATGGTGCGTTACTGTGGGCGCAATTTTCTGGAAGAATTTATAAAAGGAAAACCCGTGCGATTATAACAAGAACTAGGGCGAGAACTGCGGAAATCCTAACCGAGCTAGTAGCAGCAGCAGAACGAATGGGGTTACATATAAATCAAATAAAACCAAATTCATGGCGACTAACACAAACACAAGAGCTGGAAATGTTGACACAAATTTAATCATCAATGACCAAAACTTCGAAGCAGTCAATGAGTTCATATATCTAGGGACATCGGTTAACCCCAATAACAATACATCTGAGGAAATAAAAAGGCGAATAATAATTGCAAACAGGTGTTATTATGGTCTATCAAAGTACTTAGCTAACAAACGTCTGTCCTCAAAAAACTCGTATAAGGCTGTATAGAACACTGATAGTCCCCGTTCTCACATACGGATCAGAGGCATGGACGCTACCGAAAACAGATGAATCCGCTCTATCCATTTTTGAAAGAAAGGTGCTACGCAAGATATTTGGAGCGGTCTGTGAGAACGGAATATGGAGGCGTAGATATAACTTCGAACTGCAGAATATCTACAAGCATACGTTTGGTGGTAAAGATATTACCACTATAATTAAGCGAAACCGCCTGCAGTGGGCAGGACATGTAGCCCGGCCCCTGAATCGAACATGATAAAAAAGATTCTAACAGCGCAACCTGTGGGAATGAGACGACGGGGTAGACCAAAGCTGAGGTGGATGGATGGGGTAACACAAGATGCGGAGAAGATCGGAGTCGGCAACTGGAAAATTCAAGCAAGGACAGAACAGAATGGCGTAGAAAGCTTGAGAAGGTCGAGGCCCTCTAAGGGCTGTAGCACCAAGATGATGATGATGATGACCCGTGCGGTTTGGTTTCAAACAGTGGGTCTTATGCCTATCACTGCACTGATTTACCACTGCAGCGGTTAGCGTACAGAGGTGCCACCTACTTTGGTGGTTATGAACGAAAACGATTTAATAATATCGTTTTCTGCCCTGTCTGGGCTATACGAAATATGTAAAAGATTAATTGTGTTAAACTTCCTGTGCTCGAATTGATATCAATAGAGTGTTATGACTCATTTCAGCATCCTTGTTTCATCAGACACTCGGGCTGATACAAATTCAAACTCGGAAAGTCCAACGAATGTCTCCTAAATCTTGTACGCTAACCACTGCAGTGGTAAAAGTGTAGCTGTGTCACCGATTCCTTATCTGGAATTCACTCGATAGAAAATATTTTCACTCAACATCACTTAGTGCAACAAATACTAGAATCAACTAGTATAGTGCATCGTCTTCTTTAGTACCTTGTCCGATTATCGAATGTTGGCGATCATATTGGCAATAATAACTTTATTTACGGCGACTCTAAATAAATTAGCGGTGGTTTCTTGATACCATTCTCAGAGATTTCGGAGCCAAGATGTTCTTCGTCGGCCGGAGCCTTTCCTTCCGACGATCTTACCCTGTATTATGAGGTGTAGAAGGTTAAACCTCTCTGGATGTCTCATTACATGACTGAAATATTATAACTACTGTGTAATAACACTATTCTAAGTATAGTGTATAGAGACTACTATAAAAATAATTCAAGTGCCTTTTCATATGAGCATCCAAGGAAATTAGATGGCTGATAGCGCTGCAAAAGAAGCATCGGCATCTAACTTACCCATCTACAACCTACAACCAAGAAGATATAAAATCAAAATTTAAAAGGAATATCCAAGGCAAGTGACAAGAACTTTCGATTTCCAAAGTCACAAAAATCAGAGAAATACAATCAACGGTTACCGGCTATTTATTACTTACACCCCTGAATATAATAGAAGATAATACGAATACTGAGGATAGGACACACACGTTTGACACATGTTATCTTATGTCCTCTACAGATAACAGTTATGACCCCTATGCGAGGATACTTATATTTCCGCCAAAGCTTATCCTCACAGAATGACAACACTTCCAGGCCACTCACATTGCTAACATAAATCAGAGTTTAGAAGAACTTCTGAACTGTTTAAGCAGATTTAAAAGCATAATAGATGTTTTGGTTGAGTTTACCGAAATTACAAGCTGAATATAACCGGAAATGTCAAAAATATTTCGGTTTGGCATTGTTGGCATGTTTTTATAATACATATATATGTTGTATGCTTCAAATATAAAGACATAAAGCTTTTAAAAAGTACATTTTGATTATACTATTTTATGACTTCTGCAATTTTTAATTTATATGAAGCAATATAGGGCAAATCTATGCCCTAATCTATCAAAGGGTAATTTCTAAAAGAAATTTTAATAATAAACTGCAATTAATCTCCAAAGAAACAAATATTTACTCATTGTTGTTTTATTTAAATCAAAAATTGCCGAATTCATAACATAATATAAACAAAATGTACTTTTATAAAGCATTATCTTTTTATATTTGAAGCATACAGCATCTACATTATAAAAACATGCCAACACTGTTAAACCGAAATTTTTTGTTCCATGTTTGACATTTGCGGCTATAATCAGCTTGTACTTTCGGTAAACTCAACCGAAGTTTTAAAGACTACTCAATTGTTTCATCATCATCATCATCTTTGGCTCGACAATCCTCTGTGAATCTTGGTCTGCTCTAAGATTCGTCGCCATTCTGTTCGGTTTCTGGCAACCTGTTGCCATCTTCTGATTTTTAATATCCGTAAGTCGGTTTCAACTCCATCTAACCACCTAATTCGCGGTCGGCCTTTGCTTCTTCTTCCTACAGGTGTTCCTATGGTTAGCTTTTTCGCAATCGTATTTTCTGGCATTCGTATTATGTGTCCAGCCCATCTAAGTCGCTGTGTTTTAATGAACGTTATGACATCTGGCTCATTAAAGAGCTGATACAATTCAAAATTATATCTTCTGCGCCACTGCCCTTGGTCGTTTATAGCTTCCAATATTTTGCGGAGTATTTTACGCTCAAATATTCCCAAAAGTCTTTCATCTTTTTGCGTTAGAGTCCATGTTTCTGCTCCATATGCGAGGACCGGCCTCAGCAATGTTTTGTATATAATAATTTTAGTTCTTCTTTGAATGTTTCTTGAGTGGAAATGCTTTTGGAGTCCATAGTATGCCCTATTTGTAAGATTTACTCGTCTTTTGATTTCTTCGCTTGTTTTATTGGTAGCAGTCAATAGCGACCCAAGGTATGTGAAGTCAACACGTCCAAAGGTATGACTTCCAAAGACTGTTTCTCGTTCCTCATTTGCTATCGGATCCTTTGTAACCAACATGTACTTGGTTTTATCTTCGTTGATGATTAGACCAACCTGTTTAGCCGCTGTTTCCAATTCTAGGAGATATTGCTCAACATCTTGCTTGCTACGCCCTATTATGTCAATGTCATCAGCATATGCTAGGACTTGTATCGATCTATTGTAAATAGTACCGCTATCACTAATTTGTGTATCTCGGACTGCCTTTTCTAAGGCAATATTAAATAGGAGGCAAGCCAGAGCATCCCCTTGTCTGAGTCCATCCTTGATCTCAAAGGATCTAGAATTCTCTCCCTGTATTCTAACAGTGGCTTGTAAGTTAGACATTGTCATTCTCGTTAATCGGATAAGTTTTTCTGGTATACCAAACTCATGCATTGATTGGTATAGCACTGTTCTCTTGACACTGTCGTATGCGGCCTTGAAGTCGACGAATAGGTGATGGGTTTCAATATTGAATTCTAATGTTTTCTCGAGAATCTGTCTTATTGAATGAATCTGGTCAATTGTAATCTGGTCAATTGTTGATTTTTCTGGAGTGAATCCAGCTTGATATTTACCAACTATGCCCACTGTGTTAACTTGCAGCCTTTCGTAGAGAATATTTGCTAGTATTTTGTAAGCAGTTGTTAACAGGGTTATACCTCTATAGTTGTCACACTGGAGCTGGTCACCTTTTTTTATGTAACGGGCATATCATGCCTTGATTCATAAGGCATAGTCTCATTATGCCAAACAAGAAGTAAAAGCTTATGCAGTGTCTGTAGTAGGGCATCGCCACAATTTTTGTAGAGCTCACTGCAAATTTGATCAATTCCTGATGATTTATTATTTTTAAGCTTTTTAATGGCTTGGACAACGTTTTCGATGGTAGGTGGTCTTTCGTTTGGGTTGAAAGGATTCCAATAATTTCGATTTGCTAGGGTGTTATCTGCTTCTTCGATATGATGGCCATTAAATTTTGCATCGAAAAATTCAACCCATCTGTTTAAGATTGAGGCCGTATCATCCTTACAGCTCCTTATTCTTGGCTTAAACTCTTTGCTCATTTTGTTTAGAGTTCTGTAGAACTTTCGAGTTTCATTTTGATTTCTTAGCCATTCTGTGCTTTCCAACTGCTTTTGCTCAAATTATCTTTTTTTTTCTTCTATGTAATCGTTTTTCTTGTCTTCTTAGGGTCCGATATTCTTCCTTTGCTCTTCTTGTGCATTAAGCTTGATTTGTTTTTAGGTATGCCCTGTTTTTGTTATCTGTTGCTTCTTGGCACTTATTGTCAAACCATTCGTTTTCTTTAACTGGTTTGGTTTTGCCCAATATTTTTGTAGCTTTCTCAGTTATTCTGTTTTTACATTTTGTCCACAGTTCCTCTACATTTTCCCCTACCTCCAGGCTCTCCATTTCCTCGTCCATTTGTCCCCTATACTCTCTCGCAACGGTTTCAATGCGCAACTCAATTGTTTAACAGAATTTAATTCACATAGTATTGTTATTTTTTAACCGCTTAGGTAACTGTAATATAAATATACGTAACTATTATTGTAAACCCTTCCTCTCGTGTCGATGACCAAAGACGTCGAGACACGTTATTTCGAAATAAAAAAAAATAAATCTCCAAAATTTCTGTCTCATCTTCCATGGATCCAACAATTAATCGAGTATTTTAATATGATTTAATGTAATGTTTCAGTATAATAAGGTATCATCGCTGCATACAAAGTGGATTTCACAAGCATGCGCCAATCAACGAAAAGGACGAGCAGGTCGTACAAAACCTGGCAGGTGCTTCCGGTTGTATTCTAAACAACGCTACGAAAATATGGATGCGGAAAGAGTTCCAGAAATTCTCAGAATTTCGTTAGAGGTATTTATTGATTGATATTGTAAAATGTTGGTATTAATGAGTTTTAAATTATTTAAACGAACTTTTACTTTCCAAATTGGAAAAAAAGTAAATTTTTAAATATTAAACAAAAAAAACTATTATATTTATTGTTATAATTTTTCTATTCGGTGTTTTATTATTCCAACTGGATTTAATTCGTGAGACTTAAAACTAAGAAATAAACCTTTAAAAAGTAATTTTTTTTATATTTGTAAGGCCTTTACACGCGATTTTATAAAAAGTTCTAAAGGACGCTTGTTTTGGGGGTGAATTTACCTCTATACTAAAAAGTTGGTCAGTCATCGATTCTATAAAATTCGAATCTGTTATAAGTTGTGGTATTTGAAGCCCATCACATATTCGGGCTTTTAATTTTTCTTTTCAAAGTGCAGCGAATTTGCTGGATAAGTATTCAACACAAGGACGATTCTGGTCTAATTCATTTACAAATTGTTTCATCAGCACTAGTTTAATACGTAACGGAGGTAATATTATTTTCTCTCGGTCGGCAAATGCTTCGTTAACTACGGTAGCTTCTCCTTGAACTAAAACATCAATAGAACGCCATTTCCTTCTACTCCAGTGTTGGTCCTTAGCCCTGCTATCCCAAAGACAGAGGAAACAAGGATATTTTGTATAACCACCTTGTTATCCCAAGAGAAAGTTCACCATCTTCAAATCAACACAGATCTCCCCCGATGTTAGTCATAGTTGATGTTTTTTAGCACCAGCTGTATCGTTTTATATTCTTCTTTTATTTTGTAGTTTCTGAGTAAAGCGCTCAGGACGTGTTGATTCCCTTTCAAAATCACTATCGTCTTCCCCACATCTATTAGTCTGTAGTTCGTCAGATAACGTTTCGACATTATCCTCTGGTAGCGTAGGTAGACTGCTAAATTTTGGAATGGGTATCTGCTCAAGCTGATGTGGAATCGGTCTTATTGCTGAATCTAGGTTAGGATTACCACGTATGTCGATTGTTGCGATTAATGCCCTTTATATTTACAAGACAGAAATAGCAATAGTGAAAGTGATTTTTTGGTTCCCGCCATACCATTGGAACACTAAACTTTCGTCCTTTCGTCCAATGTCACAAGTTTTGCACACTACATGTGGTGCCCAGGATTTACCTTGATCTCCTAAATGAACACCAAAATAGGCTTGCTATGGTCTTTTTATAATATCACAAACTGGTTTTCTACTTTCCTGTACAATGTACTCGCCACATATGTAGCAAAAAACGTCCGGGTTATTCACACAAAAACGCTTGATTGTAGAAGCCATAGTTTTACAGTTGTCAAAAACAAACTCTTGCAACTAAACTCAAGTTCAAACTCAATTTTACAATGGAATGCAGTCGACTTTATAGGAATTTATTAAGGCCAGTTCAAAGAAAATACTTAGAACTACTAAAATTTTGAAAATAGTTAAAAAGCAATCATGATACTATAACAACAAGATATGCTCATTTGCCGTTCTAATTTTAATCGACTTTGCGCATGACGTCATAGCGAGACAAAACAAGGGAAGAACTTGTGTGTATCATATTTTTATGATGCATCATATGGCCACGTTGTTCCATTACTGTACTGAACAACTTCGAAACTTAAAGTGTTAACGGTAAGTATACCCCGATGCCATATCTTGCACTAAGAAGTCATAACTAGTTACTTTCTGTGAAAACGTGGTTTGAAAATCAATAAGTAATTTGTAAAATTAATTAAAGAAATATATGAATCTACGATTTGATTGTGTGTATTACAAACAAAATAAATATTGATACAAAATATAAATTAAATAAAAATTTCCGGTAAAATGTAAAGAATTTGACCATAAAGGAAAAGCGGGTCATACTTGAGACTTTATGAATATCATTTAGACATTTATTTTACAATCTTTGTGATTTTCCTCTTGCGGATATTGTAATTATCTTTAATATTTTTATTTAGAATTCGTATTTTAAAATACATTTTACACATAAAAAAGGTAATTTTACATCTTTGCTAACATTTACATATTTTGCAGCTTCTATTAAGTTTTTAAAATAATTTTTTGTTATTTTTAATGTGTCGCCATTATAACTACGAAAAATATGTTTCAGTTCACTACATACTACATACATCCAAAGTAAATTTTTTCAAAGACCTATCAAAAATAAAGTATTAATTCAAGTTCTATTAAAATTGGCATTAGTATATATTATTATCTATAGAAATATATCATTCACTACGTTTTGAAATAAACAGGATAGCAAACTCGATTAACACAGCAACATAATTAACATGAACACTTATGAGCATTTAACTTGCCGTCATTAAAGTTGTCTCGGGCTTACGTCACAAGAACATGCGCGTTGACTTATCTTGTTTTGTTATAGTATCATGAGAAGCAATTTCAAGTTATGGGCATTTCCAATAAGTACACTTTAATTAAAAGTCATTATTATGCATTTGTCTTAGAATTTGTTTTGTTTATAAACATATTGCAATTATAGTGGTGGAATATTCAGAAATGTAAGAATATTTAAGTATTTAATGATTTTGTTATATTTCGAAAACCAGAGCTGATCCAAAGAAAAGGTTTGTATTTTTGGAATCTCACTGATGAATTAACCAAAATCAGTTGATTATTTTTCGACAGCAAAACAATTTTTTTTGTTGCGCTGTATAAAAATTGAAGGGAATCTATATTTTAACAAATCTTGTATACACGGTTTGCCAATATTGAATTTTGATATAAGTAGATAAGGATAGAGGGTAGCAGAGGGTAACAGAGGGTAACAGAGGGTAGCAGAGGGTAACAGAGGGTAGCAGAGGGTAACAGAGGGTAGCAGAGGGTAACAGAGGGTAGCAGAGGGTAACAGAGGGTAACAGAGCGTACCAGAGGGTAGCAGAGAGTACTAGAGACACACCGAGGGTAGCAGAGACCATATAACACAGCGTACCAGAGGGTAGCAGAGGGTATAAATACAGGAGATGAAAACTATGACATCATTTGTTAAGATGTCGTCAAACAGAGCAGTTCAAGTAAAAAGACTCGCCGCAATTGTGAGAGCAAAGTATAATGATCTCAAAAGGATGCTTGTTGTGTTTTATCAAGGTATTATGTCAGACGGTTAAGATAGGTGATGTCATCGATATTTTTAGGTAAAGATAATGACGCGGGCGCGGTGTTTTGGTTATGTAGAAAATAAAAAGGCATGCTAAATTCCATATTATTTTATTTGTTAAATTAATACATATTACATGATATTCTTGAAGGAAGGCATCGGTTAGTGGGATGATGACTTCTGAAGTATTCCGTTTTCTTAGTAGCCGCTAGATGGAGACAATTAATGAATAAGCTCTAGATAACGCAATTCACTTATTATTTCTTCTGCTTCTTTTCCTTGTAGAGCATCGTTTTTCGAAAGAATTTTGAGGCCTTCTACAAGTATATTTGGATCGTTATTTTCGTTATAGAGGGTCCATATTTTTTCCACTTCGTCAAGTAACTGTTTGTCGACAGCACTCAGATCCTCAATACGAATTTTATTTTCCTGCTGTATGTCTGGTGTATCTTGAACATTGTTGTGTCTTTTAGACTTTTGATGTACTGCCATTGACGCATCGTGGTCATGTATTTCGACCTTTCTTGTAATACCATTTACGGTCTGTGGTCTTCTTTTACACAGGTGTTCCGATGCATCGTGGTCACGTGATTCGTCATTTCTTACGTTAGAATGTAAAGTCTGTGGTTTTTTTCTTTTAGCTGGATACATGGGCTTAATAATTTTTTCGTATTTAACGGTGTGAGATTGGTGACGTAGCCTGCCTCGTCCGTCCTTGTGGGCACCTGATATATCTAGCAGAGATTTGTAGATTTTTTGATCGGCTAGTGTGTATTGTAGAGGGTTTTTGGAAAAAAGCAATTCGTATAAACCAGGTGTAGCTTTAAAAATGTGTGAATCCATTTGAATGTTATCTTTATCAAAATCAATCGGTTGAGTTCCAAACTTCCAGTCACCGGTAGACCAATTAAATCTCGGACCGTATACTTGGTCGATGGCCCCCACATCTTGGATATATTTTTTAAGATAAGGGTAGGCATCATTACCCTTCACGGGTTGAGTACCTCGAACTTCCTCGGAAGTGAGGTGTTTTGTTTGAATATTTTGTGCTTCGTCTTCTTCGAGATCTGATGTTTTATTAGTGTTGGTTTCATTTGTGTAGTTGAGTATTTCATTAAGAGGTGTAGTTACTGGTTTTAACGTCGATTCTAGTAGCTCTTTTTGATCAGTTTGCATCCTTTTGAGATCATTATACTTTGCTCTCACAATTGCGGCGAGTCTTTTTACTTGAACTGCTCTGTTTGACGACATCTTAACAAATGATGTCATAGTTTTCATCTCCTGTATTTATACCCTCTGCTACCCTCTGGTACGCTCTGGTACGCTGTGTTATATGGTCTCTGCTACCCTCGGTGTGTCTCTAGTACTCTCTGCTACCCTCTGTTACCCTCTGCTACCCTCTGTTACCCTCTGCTACCCTCTGTTACCCTCTGCTACCCTCTGTTACCCTCTGCTACCCTCTGTTACCCTCTGCTACCCTCTGTTACCCTCTGCTACCCTCTGGTACGCTCTGGTACCCTCTGTTACCCTCTGCTACCCTCTGGTACGCTCTGGTACGCTGTGTTATATGGTCTCTGCTACCCTCGGTGTGTCTCTAGTACTCTCTGCTACCCTCTGTTACCCTCTGATAGGATAGTCATTGGCCTATTAAACACTTTATTTGTTTCTCTTTTACGATTTTTCTTTTAAAAGAATACCATTCTTATCTGTTATCGTGTACAAAATGGCTCTGTGGTTTCTTGTTTGCTTGCTTCTACACAAATATATAAAGTTCGAATCTCACCCTGGAAATGTAACAGTCTTTGATATTCTTTTAACCTAATACCTTGTTTGTTTGATAAATATGTCTGAGTGCGAGTTCCTTGTTCAAATTAACATTTTATCAGAAAACTTTCAATTCATCAACTTAAATTTGGTTCAATTCACACAAGATCTTGACTTTGTGTTAATTACTTTTACAATAAATAATTTCGTCTACAATGGCGAGATATGGCTAGGTAATAATTATGGTGAGGGCGACTTGCTTCAATTGCAGTTTTCTATAGATGGACAGATATTTTACATCGAGAACTTGTAAGTGAACGAGGGTGAAACATTGGAAGTATTCGTAGAAGATGGTTATTTTACCTTTGGAACTGTGTACATTGTTTTCACACCTACTATTAGTAATGCTATAATGATTCTCTAATGATTTAATGGTTCTATTATATGTAGTTTTTACTGTAAAAGTGTAAAATAATAAAAAACGTGAAATTTTTTAAAAATTTTTATTTTATTTTATTATTTTTTCTATTTTTTTGTTTTTTTTTACTGGTGGAGGCGTCAGTGATGTGGATGCCTCCTCTTCTGCCTCCTTATCCTCCTCCTCCTTCTCCTTATCCTTCTCCTCCTCCTTAGTATCGTCAATATCGCTGTCTAGTCTGAAACAAAAAGACACATTATAATATACACATTTCAACACCTTTAATACTTACTCATATAAACTAGGACTCCCTATTAGTTCTAGGATGTCTCTGTAAAGCAATAACAATAATTATAAGCGTGATAAAATAACGTTATATACATAACACATTAGCTGTATCTTTATACTTACAAGTCTATTCCTGTCTCCCTTTACGCCTTAGTTTTTGACAATTTAGAACTTTTTTTGATTTTATACCTTTGGTATACTCTGTAAGCAAAAGTAAAACTGTTTTAATCTCTTAATTATTTTACCACGTTTTGAAATATTTTGCCGGTACAACCGCCATTTTGTACATGTGTATTAAGTCTACATTTTTTACATAATACATGCTAGCGCTTTTACCTTCCTTACGTTTTTGAATTGTTTTAGACACCAGTCATTGAATAATAATAATAATAGTTCTTATTACTTACCTCTGTTTTCTTCTGTTAATCCTTGTTCTTGGTAGGTCCTTACAGGCATATAAATGTATATTTACATATTTTTTCACAAAATTTTTGCATTTTGTCACATTTTTCTGATTTTTTACACTATAATCCATAACACACATTTCTTTGAAAAATATTATTTAAAAATGAAACGATGAAGTCTTCGCTGTTCTTCTACACCTAGATAACAGTTTGCGGTTTTGTCGATATCGCAGCCTGCTTTCAACTTTATCAATTTCACGTGTTTTTCTGCTATTTGCATTTTAATAAAAATAATATTTTGCGGCTTTCTGCATCGGTGATATCTGTAATATTTACTAATTTGTAAATACATTCGTAATTTTTCATATTTTAAATACTCGATTCACAACATAATTCTTTACAACTAACAACCACCTTGTTAATAATAGTTTCTTTTTATCGTACTTTGAGTTTGCGGCATTTCTTTAACACACAAGTTTAAATAAAAATATATGTTTGCAATACCCATATCGACAACCTTGACATTACTATTCGCTTTTGCGTTATTCTCTGCGGTTTGTATTTACACGTTATATCAACACGTTGCTTCGTATATGCCGTTCTGACCATGACACAGGTGTTACAATTTTGATAAATACTTTTTTTATACCTATTGACGCCTACCAAATGACCGATTGGCCTAGTATGGCCCATGACGGGGCGCGGGCTAGCGTTCATGACGTCATCGCGGGGTGTGCCTGGAGCGCGAGGGGTCAAAGGTCAAAGTGGAGCGAAGCGCATCCTTATCTACTGATATACATAGATAAACTTAAGGGTAATTATTGATTTTTAATTTGATATACCAACTTTTTAGGAGATCTGTCTACACGCCAAAGTTCTTGCCCCCGACGACATGGACATAGACGGTTTTCTCTCATTAGCATTGGACGCTCCAGCAGCAAATTCTATCAGAGTTGCCGTGGAAAACCTTCAATTTCTTGGTGCTCTAGACAAAGACGAAGATTTAACTGTTCTCGGCAGCTATCTCGCTCAATTAACGTTGGAGCCTCATTTAGGAAAAATATTAATAGGGGGTGTTATTACGAAGTGTCTGGATCCTATTCTAACTTTAGTAGCAACTCTCAGTCACAAGTAAGTGGAATTTTCATTATAATTATGAGTTATATACTCTGCCCGGAAAATCTTCGCAGATTCGTCACCATACAATTTATACGAATTAAATTAAAAGTATATCGTTGATACGAGAATTAGGATATGTCAAATTATTTAGATGTTACAATATTAATGGCATGTTAATAGATAATTCTCGTTACTAACTTATAAATTTGAACTTTTTTTTTTATTCAGACTTGATTCTGTGTCTTTTTCAAGGTGCCTTCAATAAGTTGTCGTTCCATCGTTTTCTTGGTCTTTCTACTGATCGTCTTCCTATTGGGGATCTCCTGAGGTTTTTACTACACTATTTGTTGTCATTTGGCTTATATGATCATTTCATTATACTCTTCTATTTCTTACCCTGTCCTTGATATTCTCCACCGTGCATCTACGTCGTATATTTGTACTTCTAGCTTTGTCCCATAGTGTTTTACCATCAGTTTTTCTAAGCGTTTTCATTTCTGCTGTTTCTAACATTTTTTTTTGTTCTCTCGGTATCAGGTCGTGTTTCTGCTGCGTATGTCATTATTGGACTGTTTTGTAAATTCTGCATTTCGTTTCTCTTCCGATATTTTTATTTCTCCATATTGTTTCATCCAGGCAACCTGTGACTATGTTTGCTCTATTCACTTGATCTTCCGCTTTTGATGTTTGATGTATTCTAATGATTTCTCTTGCACTTGCCTCATTATAAATATAACGCCGGTGCATGATCTTCCCAACCTAAAACCTCGTTCTTCTGCTAGTGTTATTATTTCATTCAGTTTATTTGTTATCACTTTGGTTGTTAATTTTAGTGTTGTATTTAATAAATTAATTTCTCTGTAATTTTCCGGGACCGATTTGTCTCCAAATTATAGCTGATACAATTGAGGAGGAAACAGATTTCATACTTTGATGTTGCTTCAAAGGCTCAATTGACAGTAGTGACACTAGTGTCACCAAAAATAAACTTATTTTATCTTTGTTTTTTTAGTGCTAGTGTACTTTATTAAAATTTATAATGGTTATGATGGGCTCTTAAGCAAAAAACAAAGATTTAAACGTGATTATTTAATTAATAATTTTGACAAATGGCAATATTTTATGTCACTATAAATATCAAACAGTTTACCCATGAAATAATAATAAAACTAAAAAAATACATAATGTACTTGAATAACACTTTCACTCACTCGTACATCTTGTACAGAACCATACTATAACTAAAAACTTTAAGTCTTGGTTTAAATAATGCTCTAGTCATCATACTAGTAATTTGAGTTGCTTGTATCTGTCTCCTCTACATTAATTTTTGTTTCCTCTAAGTAATAAGTCTGAATCTAATTCTTTTACATAAAAAAATTTTTGAGCCAGTCTTTTAGTAGCTTGATTACGTTTCAACAAATCTGGAATGTCTTAAGTGTGAATTATTTCTGAAAAGAATATTTTTAACCAAATAAGTTCAACCAATGGCAAAGGTGAGGATTGATCAAGACCAATATACGGATGAATTTGAAATCCGGAAAGGTGTCCGCCAAGGCTGCATACTCTCTCCGATGCTTTTTAATTTATATGTTGAAAATATATTTGCGGAAGCATTAGAAGATACGGAATTAGGCATTAAGGTGAACGGCATACCAATTAGCAACCTACGCTATGCGGACGACACAGTGATTATAACTGATAATTTGGAAGATCAGCAGTTATTACTTGATAGGGTGAATAGCATAGGTAAAAAATATGGCCTCAAAATCAACATTTTGAAAACGAAATATATGGTCATTAGCAGAAACCCTCCAGAAAACCCGATATTATGCATAGGTGACAATCGTATAAATCGCGTGAAAACTTTTAAATACCTTGGCACCACAATCAATGACCAATCGGATCCACAACACGAGATAAAAACCCGAATACAAATGGCAAGACAAGCTTTTGTGAAATTCAGACCGCTCCTATGTAATCAACACCTAAACTTCGAAATACGCTACAGAATGGTCAAGTGCTACATATGGTCCATCTTGTTTTATGGCATGGAAACGTGGACTTTGAAAAAAACATCTATCAACAAACTCGAAGCATTTGAAATGTGGTCATTGAGAAGAATGATGCGCATACCTTGGGTGGATAGAGTTCGAAACGATGACGTCCTTAATAGAGCCGGCGTGGAAAGAGAACTCTTTGAATTAATTAAAAAACGCAAGATTTGTTACCTTGGGCACATATTGAGAGGAGCAAAATATGAAATACCACAGTTAATCCTACAAGGGAAGATCGAAGGTAGGAGAGGAGCCGGCCGCAAACAATTGTCCTGGTTAAGGAATATTAAAGAATGGACAGGAATACACAATACAGGTGAGCTGTGTCACGCCGCCAAGAACAGAATTCTAGTAATGAGATAGTCGCCTACGCACTTTGGTGCATGGCATGTTAAGAAGAAGAAGAAGTTCAACCAATGAGTATTTATGACTTAACCAATATATTGGATTCAGATGGCGCAAAATCGGACTAAGTGGAAAAGCATGCGAGAGGCCTATGTTCAGCAGTGGACGTTAGAGGCTGGTTGATGATAATGAATATATGACGCCTTCAGTATGCAGACAAACTAGTCCGATTGTCGATTTTCCTGTTAAGAAATCTTCTCCATATCCGCATCACTGGGTATCCCCAAGTAACCTATTCTGGTATTCGGTTTATAATTACAATCCCATAGTCTACGAAAGAAAGACGAAAGTTATGTTATTTGAAATTAAATATTTCATAAGAACAAAAATAGTAATTGACGTCATCATTCTTTATCCTCTTCTTGTCATGGCGCCATCTCCTTTCGAAGGTTGGTGATTCAAATGGCAATTGTAGTTTTGGAAACTGCTGCGCGAAAAATTTCTGCGAATGAGCGCTCGAACTATCTCCTCAGGTCTTTCAGCCACGAGTTCTGGCGTCTTCCAACTTATCTTTTGCACTGTACTTTTCCTTCTAGTATAACTTGAAGTAATTCATATTTTTCGCCTCTCAACACATGACCCAAGTATTGCATTTTCCTCTCTTTGATTATGCTTAGTAATTCTTTTTGTTTACACTTGCGAAGTGCCTCAACATTAGTAACCCTTTGTACCCATGCAATTCTCAACATTCGTCTGTATATATACTTCTCAAAGGCATCTATTATTTTTTCTATTTCAGAATCCATTGTCCAACTTTCAAGCCATACAGTAAGACAGAAAAAACGTAACATCTGATCATTCGAATTCTAAGCTGCTGACTAAGGTTTGATCTTGTAAAAAATGCTTTCATGCTCATGAATGTTTTCCTTGCTAGTTGTTTGTAATTTCAACATTGCTACTATCATTTAGAGGAATGAAGTCTGTGACTGATTGAGCAATTTTGTTTGACACTAATATAGCGGTTCCATATTGATGTTCTGGGTCGGTTCCACCTGAATAATATATGTATCCATGTTTTGTTTATTGTACTCCTGAACCAGGCCATCTTACTTCACTCATCCCCAAGATGTCTATTTTCATTCTTACCATCTCGGCTTCAGTGTTTGCCAGTTTCCCGGACATAAATAAGCTGCGTACGTTCCAGGTGACAATGCGTACTATTCGGTCGTATATTTGTATTCTCTGACCACTTCCTTGGGTAGTTGACGGGGGGATTCTTCGCACCCTCTCCCCATTCAAGGGGTGCCCCGGACTGAGGGCATTTTCTTTTCTCATCTGCCATTTAGATTTGTGGAAAATATAATGGTTTTCCCGTTGCCTGCCCCATCCCAGTTCCACAACCATTTAAACTACTCCAGTTATGCTTGTAGTAATCCAGATTCAAGCCGGTCCAGGATCATGTCTTTTCCCTAGATTTTGGAAGGATAAAGGAATGGGACATGATTTCTCTCAGTAAGAAATTGAGAGCAAAGCATGGCTCGCGTGGGCAGGTGTCTACCCGCTACCCTCATCATTCTTTATACATGTTTTTAATAATCTCTCTTTCCAATGGCGCTACAGCCCAAATCGAGCCTTCGCCCCCCCCCCCCCCAAACTATGTCTCCAACCTTGCCGATCTTCTCCAAGTTCTCACGTCTAGCAAATTCTGCGCGTCCGCTACTTTTTCACCCTCCCACCTTTCGTGGCCTTCCTTTTGGTCTTGCGCCCCTCATTTTACTATCTAGGGCATTTTTTGGCAATATTTCAGTCTCCATTCTCACTACATGACCAGCCCATCGAAGTGTCTGAAGTTTAACGAATTCGTGGTAAGGAATTTTACGAACAGTTAGTAAAGTTCATGGTTGTGCCTGGATCACCATACAAGACTTCTAGCTTTCGTTTTGTGTCTCTGTTATCACCCATCTCTTGCATCCATAACATACTATTTTGCTGATAATAGTTTTGTAGGCCCCGATTTTCGATCTTCAGTGTGTGTTTTTGGAGCGGGACACATGAGCGAGTGAAAAGTAAGCTTTGTTTCTCTTAACTATTCTTCCTTGAATTTCTGGTTTTTCTGTTCCATCCGTGTTTAATGTAACTCCGAGATATATGAGAGTTTTTACAGATTAAATATCGTCCTCGAATTCAACTGTGCGTCTGTTTCACCTAGTTCTTACCTGTGTTATTTGTTTTTTCTTTTGAATATTTATTTCTAATCCGGTCTCTTCTGCCCCTGTTTTTAATTGTGAATATATTTCTGCCGCCCCTTCTGTTCTACGAGATATGATGCTAATGTTATCGCCATATGCGGCAATCTGTATTGATTTATTTCTTAGGAGATTACCTTTTCCTATATTGTCTTATCACATGTTCAAGAGTCTGATTGAATAGTTTCGGTGCCAGCCCGTCTCACAGCAATTAATAAATTAATAAATTTTATACTTTGAATATTCGATAGTTATAAGGAATTTATACGTGCTACACTGTTGATGCTGATATTTTTTAAATAGTTATATATTTTTTATTTATCTATGGTATACTGGAGCATCTTAAAGTATACCACGGAATATATTAAAAAAAATAAATATTTTTTTAAAATTGTGTATGCCTTTTTAGAGATCCATTCCAGTTACCTCCCCAGGCACATCTTAAAACACAGGCAGCTGGTAAACGAAAGGAGTTAATTAATGGTGTTTTGAGCGATCATCTCTTATATCTTGAACTTTTTAGAAAATTTGAGGTAAGTACGCTGTACAAAGTGATCATTCGTTTAAATACGTTTTATTTTTATAATTTGAACCATATCATTTTAGGAAGCAACTGCGTCGGGTAATGTAGGTCGTTTTTGTCATGAATACTTTTTAAGCCAGAACGCCATGAGCTCCATTATAAAAACAAAAAGTCAATTGATGGGTCAACTTAAGATGCTTAATTTCGTCTCTGGCTCGGCCGGATCTTACAGAAATACTCATTCAGATTGTTGGCCATTGGTGAAAGGGCTGATTTGTACCGGATTGTATCCAAACGTAGCTTATCCAAGCGGAAACAAACTACAAACAAGGTAATTTTTTTATTTAATTAATGTATTTGCATAACTTGATCCATGCAGTCACGTTAATGTATTTGACTACTTGAATTTGTTAATGATGTACTATTGCATTTAATAACAAAATAGTACTTCGTCTAGAGGTAAATTAAAAATATAATGTAAACATCAATATCACAAAAATCAGTACATTGATAAGAAACCATACTTTCATTCGTTACATTCAAGGCCCTAGCTAACTTAAAGTAAATATTTAGAACCAACAAAGGATTACATAATATAGGGATACTTTTCACGCTAAGGTGCCTTTCATAGCGACTTTATTACAACACAAAACAGGCAACGGCTAGAAGGTAAATATATAACACAAGGATAGACAGAGGGATCAAAGCTATATTTATACATTTACATTACACATAACATCCTAAATTTTTCTTTTAGTCCTTTTTAAGTATTCGAAAAAAATTTGGTTAAGCCTAATATTATGACGGGAGATATATAAAATAGAAGATTGACACTGAGGAAGAGGTATTTGTTCTTTTATCAGATTTTTCAATAGATACTTAATAACAGCATCATTATATACACCCGAACATCCAATGATTGATATCGTCAGTGTTACCATTACAATCACAAAGTTCTGTTTCACTTTAATTAAATTTATGAAGATAGGCTTTCACAGTAGCATGATTAACAAGGCATTTAACAAACATTGAATATACTCTTCTATTGGGATGACTTCTTGCAGTATAGGACGCAATATGTAAAACAGGGTGAATTTTTGTATAAAGGTTGTTACTTCTGTTACAGAAAGCATTCCATTCAATTTCCCAGTTTTCTTTTAATTCTGGTTTACGCAGCGACACTAACGCTTCTATTAAGCTAACTAATTTCTAATTATTTTGAAGCCGCTTATTTAGCAAAATAATCTGCTTTGGTGTTACCCGAGATACCAACATGTCCCTTTACCCAAATGAAAGAGACTGAAGTATTTCTTTTATGTAAAAATGTACATTTTTATTTTCATATATGTATGAAAGGAATGCAAAAAAAATTTACACATACTCTGCAGTAAAATTCATTGTTTATTTTGTAATTAATTAAAAATACAATACAATACACTGCAACATTATTCAATATAATAATACAATACAAATTAAAATGCAATATTTATAAGTATTTAAAAATGACAATATACATAACTTACTTACACATATGTTTAATTTACCATGATAATAATATTAATAAAATAAAAATATTGTTTCGTGATATAACTGTCAATTTGTCTGACATTTACAGATACAAAATTTATTTGTTGTTTGTTGTGTATATAAGTACACATTTGAACTTGAGATATTTACAAGTTTTAATTTATAATTTAGCATGTAATAAATAATAATAATACAGTGGAACCTGCTTAATTCGAACTTCTCTAATTCGAAATCTTCTTTAATTCGAATTTTTATTCTGGTCCCTAGCATTTCCTATATAAGTAATGGTAAAAAGTCGTGAATACTTCGAATTTATTTTGGATAATTCGAACTTCTCTACAAGCTAAAATGCCAATTTCATGCTTGAAATTTGTGCGAAAAGAGATAGTATTCTTTCCTGTCCTCTCGCGCCACTTTTTTCGAGACATTGATGACCATTGTACATTGTACCCGTATCTGGCACCTAAATTCTCCCACACTTAGCATGCCAAGAACTTTGGAATTCCTCCTAACCTATGATAATATACACCTACGTCTTCAAGTAGATGGATATACCTACTTGAAGAATAAAGAAAAAAACCTGAAGTGAGTGCGGTAAAGAATAATAAAGGTTAAGAAGACAGAAAATCCAAATGTGTTTTAAAATGGTTCGAACATGCCAGGGACAAGGAGATTCCCGTGGTTGGTCGTCTTATAAGAAGCAAATCTGAACAATTTGTTGTTGAAATGAGGAAAAATAACTTTAAAGCGAGTACAGGGTGGCTAGACAGCTTCAAAGAACGCAACTAAATTTTATTCAAATCCATTTGTGGAGAAAGTGAGGCTGTTAATGTAAAAGAAGCCAAAAAATGGAGAAAAAAACTGGAGGAGATGATTCAGGATATAGATGAAAGAGATATCTTCAATTTTGACGAGACAGGTCTTTTTTAATGCACTCCGTCAAATCACTGGCATTTAAAAATAAAAAAATGTCACGGAGGAAAACTAAGCAAAAAAAGAGTCACTCTCCTAATTGGTTCAAACATGGACGGAACAGAAGTGGTATCTCTACTGATAATTGGTAAGTCGGCTAATCTGTGTTGTTTTAAGAACGTCAAGTCAAAACCAGTGGAATATGTAAGCAATGCAAGGGCTTGGATGGCTAGGGATCTTTTCGAGAAATGGCTGATGAAATTAGACAAAAAGTTCATAAGAGAAAAGTTATTTTTTTTATTGACAATTGTACGGCCTAGAACACTATCCCATTAATGGAAAATGTAAAAGTTATTTTTTTCTTCCAACATGATTTCAGTTCTTCAGCGTATGGAGCAGGGCATCATAAAAAATCTTAAACGTTTTAACAGACGTTTTTTGATTGAAAACATATTGATGAAAGATTAAAACTCCCTTTAAATAATGACATTTTTCAAGCCTCTCGAATGTGTAAGAAAGCTTGGGGGTAAGTAACACAACCGAAACGACCAAACACTGTTTCAAAAAAGCTGGTTTCGTAAAAAAGGAGGAGAACGCAGAAAACTCTAACGACGCTTCAACAGAAGAGCTGCTTTCAGTTGACGGCTGGGAGGACGTCATTTCGGATCCTGCCATCTCTTATGAAGATTTTGTCAACGTGGATGAATATGTTGCAGTGCAGCTGAAGCAACGAACCATATTACACAACTTAGACGGTATTTCGAAAGTAAAAATGATGTAAGTGACTTTATTTTTAATTCACCTTAGAATTCATTGCCATTGTCATTGTCATACCGAGAAGCTGAATTCTAAAAAGCAACTCAAAAATTTCAGATTTCTGTGGAAAAAGTTAGTCTGTCTAAGAAACGCGCGTATTTATTGAAAAAAAAAATGCAAATTCAAAGTCAATATATAAAAAATGCTGCTGATAGTACTTTTACATATTTTTTAATTTTAGGAGAGCAACATGTCCATCCATATCGAATTTTAGCGCATGCTCACATCAAGAAATCAAGACGTGGCTTATTTACGACGAAATGTTAAAGCAGAAAGGTGGTTTTGGTCTTAGAGGAGTTACAGCTGTTACTCCTTTAACAGTAAGTATTTTTTAAACAAATTTCTTCGTTGCAAATTACGTGGCCAAACTTACATTGTTTCACTAAGTTAAGCACTTCTTTTTCTTTTATCTTTGCACAGGACTTCGACGATGGTGACATCATTCAGTGGCTAACGTCGGTGTCCAAGCTTCGACTCCATTTGGTAGCACCATAAGAACGGAGCAACTCACTATCCGCATCTTGGCCCTAAACTCAGGTCACTGTAGCACATTAAGGATCTCATCTTGGTAACATTGGACCATGCACTCGTCTTCTTCTTATGGTGCCCTATCTAATTAGTGTATGTTGTCGACAGTTCTGGCATACTCCTCTCGATCTTGTGTGGCTCTAAAGAGTGCATGGGCATCGAGGTTTGCCCAATCGCTTGTTTTTAAGCCATGAGTATTTCTTTCTTCCGATGCCCGTTTCCTTCGTCTTCCTTCCATAGAAGCTTTAAGAATTGGTACTTTGAATTTCAAATATGTGACCCAGATAAGCAGTTTTTCTTCTTTTTATTATTGTCAGCAATTCTCGTTCTCTGCCCATTCGATTCAATACTTCGACATTTGTTGTATGAATTGTCCAGGGAATTTTAAGTAGTCTTCTAAATACCCACATTTCAAAGGCTTCCAATAGGTTCATCACAGTGGCCTTTATGGTCCAGGTTTCTACACCATATAGCTTCTTCTTCTTCTTTGGGTTCCGTGTCCGTATTCCGACGTTGGCCTTCATCATGTTTACAATTTCCTGAAACCTTTCTCTGTCGGCTGCTGCGCGAAATAATTCTTCTACTGTGGAACCACACCATTGTCTAATAACACCATATAGCAGTATAGAGTAAATGTAACATTTTACAAGGCGATATCGAACCGTTAAGTTAAGGTTGCTGTTGCTTAGCAAGATTCTCATATTAGTAAATGCTGTTCTGGCTTGTTCAAACCTGCTACATATCTCTATGTATGGATCTAAATCTTCAGTTATTTAACTGCCGCTATATCTGAACTTGGAGAATTTTTGGATGTTCTTATTGTCGATTCGACTCTATACCTAATTTCTTTAGCGTGATCCTTTGAGAGTTAAGGGTAGTTCCGAGGTAGCTCTCGATCGCTTCATTTGCTGTCATTAGCGTCTCGAGATCTACATTTTCGTGGCTGATAACCGTGAATTTGGATTTGGTTTTCCTAATGTCTAGGCTGTACTTTATGTTCTCAGTTTTCATGCGGTCCAGTACGATCTGTAGATCATTTAGGCTGAAGAAAAATTTAATGTATAGTTTTAATATTTATTTATTAAAATTTTTCCCTATTGTTAGCTGCTTAATACTGGGTGTTTGTCTTTTATTTTTAACTAGACAATTATTATAATGAAATAAAAACATACATACCATTAAGTAAAACATATTGTTTTTCTTTGGTGAAATTGCGAAATAGGGCAAGTGTTGTAGTATAGGAGTATCTTATCAATTATTATATACAAATGTGAAGATCAGCAGTCGCTAATCAACACTTAAAACCGCGTATACACTTGAGCATTCGCCTCGAATGAGCATTTGTTCACCCTGTTTTACTCAGATAAGTACAGGACTAGCCGTACGGATCCGCATCGTTCAGCTCGAGCCGAGAGTTGTCGGTAGTTCAAAGTAAGTACCCATTCATTTCGGGCTCGGCGAGGACGAGAAAAACCTAGATACGCCTCGAATGGCCGAACAGCTATCACCTCTCTTCTCTGAATTCTCTCTTTTTAGTAGTGAATTGTATCAATACGTGTACAATTTAAATAAATTTATTGCGTGATAAAAAAACAAAAAAAGGAAGTGTCTTTTACTTATCAACCATTTCCGAAGGTTTAAAGAGCTTTAAAAAACAAATTATAAATTTAATTACAACAACTTGAAAAAAGAAGATACATGGGAGTAAATTTCCCCTTTAATGAAAATGATAAAAGAGGATTGTCGGAAGAAAGTGAAAGGTCTCAAAGGTTCATACTGGAGGGAATGAACAGAACTTAAAAAAAAGCTAACACAACTGGCCTACTATGACATTCATTAGTTCAGACTGTCTACTGTGGTTTGACACATTTTAGAAATAATTTTTCCAATAGCTTATTTCGATATTTTAAACAGGTACTGCAAACTGGAGTATGAATCACCAGTAGCCAGAAATCTAAGCGTTAGAGCTAAGCGTTCTTCTATAGATATGGCTTTTCTGAAAACAGTGTCCTTTCTTCCCATTTTAGCACTGAAACCATTAAGGGGAAATTTAAAATCCACTCGTGATATTCGATTAAAGTTTTCTTCTGTTTCCTGTCTAAAGTTGCTTGCTCACATTTTGGTATTCCTTTCCCCGTATAGTTTCCTCTGCGATCATCGCTTTTTCTGTTGTTTCCTTTTATGGAATCCTGTATATAAATGTAGAAAAAACCAAAAACTTTTGGTTTAGGTTCACCATGGCTTGGTGTTCAGACTGGATTCCATATTCGGGGTTCGGGCCTCTACTTCCGGCTTAGTTTTCATGAAAGCGTGGGCGTGCGGGGGATGCTTCCCACTCCATCGCGACCAAATACTCATTCAAGGCAAATTTTAAGTGCCTCAAGAGTGAGTCCCTTCAGAGACACGAAGTTAATTAATCCAAGGGGACATAAATATTAATAGAAACACACTTGTAATAGAAACATACCTATATACAATACATGTATTAATATAAACAAACATATTAATAGAAACACACTTGTAATAGAAACATACCTATATACAATACGTGTATTAATATAAACAAACCATTCAATTAAAAAAGATAAAATACAGTATAGCCCAAAATAGACAGTCCTGAACTTGTAATTACTTTATTGTTTTAAAAATACATATTATTGACACTTTATGACATGTTCTAAATGAGCTCCTCCTCTCTCAAGACAGACTTCATACCGATATTCCAGATTTATCGTAATGTTATGGAATAAAAGTTGTGTTAAATCCGTGAAGAAGGCTCTAACGGCATCCTTTAAGTCATTGACGGTTTGTGCTGCCTGTTTAAAAATGACAGGTTTAGCCATGCCCCAAATGTGTGCGTCTGGAGATGTTATGTCTGGAGAATGTACAGGATAGGGGAAGTCAGTAACTCGTGAAATGAATTTGTTTGGAAAATGTCCCTGAAGAAATTGACGAACTGCGAAAGCAGTAGGGCAAGTTGCCTCATCCTGCTGGATAAATTGGTCTCGAAATGCCAAATTATGTGCACCACAAAATTGACGTAGATCAGGGATAAAGCGTGTTAAAATTTATATGTACGTCTGTTGATTAAGTGTGACTTGCCTACCATTTTCTTCGATAAAGTATGAATCAATGATTCCGTGTCCCGAAACTAAACACTAGATACTCACTTCTGCGCTATGTAAAGGAACTTCATCTGGCCTGACAAAGCCCAGAAATCGATTTGTTCTATGATTTACATGGCCTGACAAATGAAAATGTGCTTCGTCTGAAAACCATACGTTTTTCAAAAATTCAGGATTTTCATACCGTAATGCATTTCGGATTTTCCAAGAATCGCTCAAAAACACGTTCATGATTATCGTTGTTGATTACTATTCTGGAACGCCCTGAGTTTCCATTTCGTTGGCACAATACATTACCCGTATTTCTAAACTTTTTAACAACCTTCAAAATTACTTGGGGAACGTTTATTAAACCGTTATGTGAATTAATCACACACATATTGCAGACTTGCACTATTACTTCGGCCGATTCCATATGAGCGAAAATAATGCTCCACAAAAAACACTTTCTCCTCTGTAACCACCATTTTTAACAATAAGGCCTTAATAATTAATTGTTTAAGGATTACTTTGGCAGGTCTATACTAGTTAATTTGATGATGATGATGATTATGATGAAAAGGTTGCCAATGTGAGTCCATAATACACTATCGCAGATCAAAATTTAAATTAAATTTCAATTCAACTGACTCAATTTTCCTCTAATAAATGTCAAATTAAACGTATTTTAAACTAAAATTGTGGTTGATTATCATTAAAGATAGTAAATAATTGTTCTGTATTTGTTTTAATAATTAATTTATATATGAATAGGCATTTAATGCACCAATAGGACCAGCCAAATCTTTTTATAATATGATTGAAATTATTGTAACTTCTCCAATCATTTTTAACCCTGCTGTCCTGTTCGGGTCTATTTGACCCAAAAAAAAAATTATTTCTTATTTTACAAATTATTACGCGGCGTAACGTTTTGGTGTTTCGTGACTTTATTACTTAATATGAGGTCTTTCAATTGCATAAAAGATAAAAAATCAACTTGCTCATTTTTTTGATAAAAATTAAATTGTTACCTATGGTACGCTCGGGTCAATATGACCCACTTATTTAAACCGTTAAAAATTACCTGTATAGGTATGTTTAGTTGGTAGTATTTTATATTTTCTAATAGTGTTTGTCAGTCAGGTACGTCTATAAATAAAAACAAGTTTCTACAAGCTAGAACTTGTAAAATATGTGTAGTGTAGCTGGACGATGTCAGGTAGAATGGCATGTCACGTAAAAGGAAGTGGGGGTGATAGACAAGTGGTAAAACACTAATATTCCAAGGCCAAGCGCATTCATTTATTCGTTTATATTTCAAATTTCAGTCTATGTTTGCATGTTGATAATGTCGCACCGTAGAGCGCTAACCGAAGATGAGCTTCGCGAGCTCGCGAACGTGTCAGAGAGTGATGAGTGCATATCAGAAACAGAAAACAATACAAGTAGTGAGAGTGAGGAAGAAAGTAGTGATGAATCCTTTGGTGTTCCATTCTACGTACAACATCCTGTAGAACCTTCTGTAACGGTTCCTTCAAAAGACGATACTATCCAATGGTCGCTCGATCCTCCTTATCAACGCGGTCGTTTTTCTACGGCCAATGTTATAAATAATGCTCCAGGAGTTACAAGGTACGCATGTGCACGAATTTTCGATATTAAAAATTCATTTGACGCACTCTTTTCTGACATAGTTGCAAACCAAATTATAAATATGACCAACATGGAAGGACAGCGTGTTTTTGGAAACAACTGGAAAGACTTAGATAAAATTGGTTTTCAAGCATACATTGGTCTGTTATTGTTAGCTGGAGTTTTTAAGTCCCATGGTGAATCAACTAAAAGTTTGTGGAATGAAGAAACGGGTCGTAGTATATTTCGAGCAACAATGTCCCTTGAAGTATTTACAAAAATTTCGCAAGTAATACGTTTTGATAACAAGACTACTAGACAGGATAGGAGACGTACTGATAAACTTGCTGCAATACGTGAAATTTGGGAAAAATGGGTTGAAAATCTACCAAAATTTTTTAACCCTGATGAAAATGTTACCGTCGACGAGCAATTAGTTGCCTTTAGAGGCCGCTGTCCATTCAAACAGTACATTCCAAGCAAGCCAGCGAAATATGGCATAAAAATTTGGGCCTTATGTGACAGTAAAAGTTCTTATGCTCTAAAATTGCAGATCTATACAGGAAAGGAAGCAGGTGCCGCGCCAGAACGAAATCAGGGAATGCGTGTGGTGTGCGACTTGAGTAGTGATTTGAAAGGCCACAATATTACATGTGATAACTTTTTTACATCGTACAATTTAGGACAACTTCTTCTAAAAAGAAAAAATACAATGCTGGGGACTATAAGAAAAAATAAACGAGAGCTTCCAGCACAAATTGCGAATAAAGAAGTTCATAGTTCGTCTTTTTACTTCACACAAGATACCACTGTTGTTAACTATATTCCTAAAAAGAATAAAAATGTTATTCTTATGAGTACTTTGCATCATGAAAAGGCTATTAGTGACAGAAATGACAAGAAGCCCCAAATTATTTTAGATTACAATTCCAGTAAGGGGGCAGTGGATACTCTAGATCAGCTTGTTGGTACATATACATGTAAGAGGAAGACAAATCGCTGGCCCATGATTGTTTTTTACAATATGCTGGACATTTCTGCCTACAACGCGTTCGTTTTATGGACATCGATAAATCCCCAATGGAATACCAATAAACTTACAAAACGACGAATTTTTCTTGAGGAGTTGGGAAAAACACTGGTGAAACCACTTATCCTTTCCAGGAAAAATTTACCGAGAACTAAAGACTCACAAGAACTGGTAAAAAGAACACGAGCAGAAGCGAGTAGAGAAGATGGAAATTCTAGTGAACCGTCTATGGACCATCCAACTCCGCCTGCTAAACGAGCACGCTGTAAATTTTGCTCTAAAAGGGATAACAAGACTAATATTTTATGTTGTATATGTCATAAACATATTTGTAAAACCCATTCTTTCTATTACTGTCCCAGTTGTAAACTGAATTAAATTTTGTAGATATTTGTTCTTAGGGTTTTCTGGGAAAGAAAAAATGCTTTTTATTTTTGTTAATAAGGTTTAATTTACAGTAACAATATAATTATTGTTTAATTAACTATAATTTTTTATTAATACAGTTTTGTTTAGCACCATTAGCTTATTTTATTTCTATTAGGGAGCGTAAATCATAGTTGGGTCATATTGACCCGAACAGTACATTTGTGTAGTTTACTCGAACGGTACAGCAGGGTTAAGTTGTAATTTAATGCTGTAAATATTTTATTTTTAGGTCGGTCTATTTTGCGGCATGGACACGACAATAGAATCCCCAACGGATTTGGATATTGACGGTTGGTTGAACTTTTCCTTTCCCAACGCAAACATCATCAACCTCCGCACGGCACTCGATAACCTATACCAAAAAGTGATAACAGAGCCAAGCTATAAATATTCCAAGTTCGACGATTTAACTTTGAAAACTGTGGAAACTGTTTTGAACGAAGAAGAGGAAACAGCAGAGCTAAGAATACCTACGTATTTCGATCCACTGCAAACGCCGTATGTGCCACCTTTTCGTCGTCACCCTCCATCAAACCACTATCGTCATGAACAAAACAGCAGAAGTTATCAACGTAACGACTTCCGTCCAGGTGGATCCCAAAGTAGGAGCCATCATCAACAAAGTCACCAAAGACCGAATTACTATAGACCGAATAATAACTATCGTAGAGTAAAAACTGGAAATAGTTCACGATCAGTAGAGGTTTGTAACTTTTTTAATGAGTCTTGTTGTATACTCGCTTTTATGCTATTTTTACCCGAATTTAATAAATGGAGGATATGGTTTAACCTTATAAAGGTCTGTTGTTCCGTTTATTTCATCTCTTTAATTTTATTCATATGATCATAATATTTATGTGTTTAAATTGTCACCCACTACGTGTTCAAAAATGGTACTATTCCGCAACAAGCGCCCGAGACAGATGACAGATAGGTGAGACAGATTGTGGTTGGTCTCTTCATGTCTGCTTCGTAATGTTATTGTATTAAGGTCGTTCAGCAGTCCCAGACAGAGACAAGGAATAAGGGACTGTCGTCTATGTGTCTCGTGAGTCTCCGTCAAGAGCTGCAGGATATTTTCTTTTCTTCAGAATTGAAGTGTGACATGACAGAGAAGAGGCAACAGACAAATAACATTTTTCAACTGAAGTAAGGCATAGAAATTTATGTTTCATTTCTGTGACATATAACAGACTGGAGTCAAATACAGGAAATATAACTGACAAATAAAGATTGAAAATGAAAAAGAAAGATTAAATTTTAGTTGATTGAAGAAGAAATAATTAACAAAAAAATAAAAATAACAAACATGTGACGTTTATAACGCTACAATATGATTTTTCAGTATTCGCTGTGTGCAAATACTTGGAGAGGATACGAGAAGCAATCGTGCGCGTTAAAGGAGAAACCTTGCATTTTTTAGCAAATTTAATAAGTTTTATCATTAGAGAAAATGGGATTTCGCAAATGTTGTATTATAAATTGTAAAAATACAACAAGAAATAGACAATTCAAGTTCTATTCATTTCCAAATTATAAGCAAAAGTTAATAAAACGAGAAATGCGGATTTCTATTATAAATTACAATAATTATTGTATTAAATTAAAAAGTTGTAAGTCATTTGCTTTGCAGTTTACTAAAAAGTTCGCTGATATGACACTAGGTGTCGCTTTTCCGAAATGTTTACCTTTCAATAACCTGTATCTAAAATTATTTGTAGGGGCAGAATAATTTGTAATACTAAATACATTTTTCAAACTACCACCAAGACATTTGTATACTTGGGTCTCTACGCAGATTCAACTAGGAAACATAATAAGGAATCAAATTGATTGTATGATGGGGAACAAGAGATCCCGTAATGCATGTTTATTAGTTAAGGGGACAGTCTCATGCGATTAAAAAAAAAGACACATTTTAAAATTAAAACAGAAAAAAAAACTATAATATTTATTAACATAATTCCTTTTGGAGATGATTAAGTAAGTCTTGAAGTACATAAAAAAAATTTAATAGCGATTTTAACTTCATTGGTGTCCTGTAGATGGCGTGTAGTAAAAAGTGCGTTTTTGGTGGTAAGACACTTTGTGGGTCACCTGTAACAGATATTCAAAAAATTCAAAATGGGTTGTATTCGTGAGACTCAAAACTAGATGATAAACCTTTAAAATATGCAAATTGTATTATTTTGAAGAGTTTATACGAATTTTTTCAAAAAAGTCGAAAAATCGCTATATTTTTCGGTGGATTTACCCATATATAATAAAAGGGGGGGTGGTTTTTAAATATTTTAAAGGTTTATCATCTAGTATTTTGTATGTACATTCGAAAAATTTTTGGTTTTTTAAAATCGGTTAAGAAGGTTCGGAGAAAAGTGTCTGACCAGTTTGAAAATGTTACTTTTGAGAAAAAAGCATTTAAAGTTTTTTTTACATAATTTTCGTGAATAAAAGGCTGATAACTTTATACTCACGTTTAATCGGCCATTCCTGGTGAATATTGAGGACCCTCTTCATCCAACAGTTGTTGTAAATGGCTTTGTAAAGCTGTAAATTTCAATACAACGTCGCGATGTTTTATAATTAATTCATTTGTTCATGTTCGACTGGAGTCTCAATTCACGCCGCGATGCTGCCAGTATAAGTGTAAAAACGGAACACACCTAGATCGCATGTCAATTCAACGAAAACGTACTTATTTATAAATGTAGATATGAAAATATTTTATAACTAAAAAAATGGTTATGTTTTATTGCCAAAACGGCTTGAAAAAAAAGTTGATTTCTAAAATAAAAAATAAAAAGGAATTTTAAAAATAAAATAATTATATTACACTCTTTTTAATTTGAAATTATAAACAATATTTGGAATAATAAATGTATTTAAGTATAAATTTTATAACTCAAATAATACCTAATGAACACAAACAAAATTGATGTTAATAAAACATTATTTATTATCTGCACAAAACCGGACTTTCAGGAAAAATCGGTAGACGGAGCAACACTGTCGGCGTGCCATATACGCTACTATCGGCGTGCCATATACGCTACTATAAACCGCTAAGGAGAAGTAATCCAGTGGAACAAATAAATTTACACTGGTTAATTGCAACGCAGAGAATCTTAGTATTTGTAAAAAAATCCTATGTTCCGGATTTAAAATTCCAAATCCAAATGTGTATAGTAAACGCCAAACGTTATACAGATATACATACTATATAAAAATTAATCACTAATACATACCCAACGTATATACAACATATATACAAAAGCAAGAACAGCTGGAGCCTCGCGCTCGCCGCGCGGAGAGAAACCGGTTTTCATACGTGCGTAGATGACGTTAATAAAATAACTATAACTTATATTCTAGTGGGAATTTCTTTTTAAAATTTTAGGAGGGAGTTTTTGAATGTATATGGAAGCGATTTATAAAAAAAAATAAAATTGATTTTTTGAAAGTTTCGCATGAGACTGTCCCCTTAAAAGTTACTTCGGTGCTGACATATCGTCAGATCATGTTCCTGTTATTGGTAAATGTAGGTTTAGATTTAAATATATTATAAAAAAGTAACACGGAGCAAACATCAGAAGAATTACTTCAGAATATATGCGAAACCTTTAACAAGATCAGAGAAGAACATCCAAACATCCAAAAGTTGGATGAATGACAATAAACTGCAACTCATGGAATAAAGAAGAAAATCGAAGAACAACAAACGAGTGTTCAAAAATATTCAGAGACAAATAAGAACCGAAATACGTAAGGCCCAAGAAAATTGGTTAAAAACACAGTGTGAAGGGAGCGTTGTTGGAACAAAAACAAGATACATTTAATATGCTAAAAGGTAAAACAAGCAGCTGGTCTTCAAAAATCCAACACTGCTAGCAAACTTCAAGTACAACAGTGGTTAGAAGTGGACCCTTCTTGTAATGCTTTTCGAGTTGCATCGTTGCAACTCCTGGCAAAGTCTATTATCATTAAGCTGTACGGTTTAATATTTACAACGAATGCTTGCTCGCGTTGGTCTTTGTGGAAATACGGGTCAATGATGTATCGGCGGTTGCAGCCAAAAAAATGAACTTTAGGTTATAAAGTGATCGCTACTGTTTCTGTTTTGGATTCTGCTCTACTCAGCAGCGACAATTCTGCTTATTGACGTATCCTTTCAAATAGAAGTTGTTTTTCAAAGTTCCTTTAATATTTTGTTCAAAAGTATTATAGACTCTTTAGGTTCTTTCTTCAAGATAAACTGCGAAGTAGATTTGTTGATACGGATTACTTGTTTTCTTTTACGAATAGATAATAAACACAAACAGCTTTATATGACTGCTATATATTTTCCTCTTTTAAGATCTATATTTCGCTTTCGTAGAAGACAAGCGGCTAATATTTTTTTGGTTTTTGAATACTTTTGGCTATCTGTGGTCATTTTCCAGTGATGTGTCAAGATAGGGATGTTCAAGATTGTTTGAATTCATTATTTTTTGTAATTAGTTTATTTACATATGTGGAATTAGTTTTTTCATTGAGAAAACTAGCTTTATGTTCAGTTTAGGTATTTTGAAACTTCCACCTGTCTGAGCTGTATACTATTTTGGTCATTTTTTCAACATACTTTAGTTTAACTTGTCTTTATGATACCAGAGAACTACGAACGCAGAGAAGCGACACTCCTTTGATCTTGCGTGGGCAAGCCGCCAACGAGTGAAAATGACAGGAAAGCACCTTATTTTTGAATAGTCAGTGGGCATATTACACAATATAAATTCTTAAATAAAATTGAGCATTTGATTTGATTTACAAAAGGTTGCAAATACATCGCACAACGCAAAGTAATGGTGAAAATCGTATTGATGGTACCATAGATGAAAATACTTTTTTGTTTATTCTGATGTTGACGTTGATAATACAATAATACACCGATTCTTTTTGGCTTGTGTTGATACAAGATATAATTTGTTCGTCGTGGAATTTCCTAATAAATTATCTTTATCCTAATAACCTAAAAAATAATCAAAAAAGTATTACGAATCATTACAAGAGAGCATTAGGAAGATAAAACGAATTTATATTATTATCATTACACATGATTCGGATATACATAGTAAATCCAGACTTTCAGTTTTAACTAATATTTGGATACAATTTATTTTGTTTACAATAGATTCAGAGTTAATACATACGATTTTTAGTTGATTGGTATTGCCTTTAAAATTATTTGTAGTATCTAGTTTGCCTAAGCCGGATTTGTAACAATTATTTTTGGTTTTGTTGTTAACTGCGGTTAGTACAATTCTTATACTTGAAGTCAAAACAACGAACCATTGAATCTTCAGGCCAGATACTGGGATTGAGAACTTCATTTTTATAATCCAATGGATATAAAACTTTAAAGTTTGCTTGGTACTCCGTAACCTTTAACTTCTTGAAGTAAAAATGTATATTTGGAGCATTTACCTTTAAATTATTGGTCAAATCTTCCGTTGTCTGTTGTGGAATTATATAACGGTGTAAATAAATAATGATTGATTGGAGTAAGATTTATGTCTGTTTACTCTTAATATTGGCTATGGGCATATGTGCTTGGTTGTAAATATAGTAATTGTCATCCAGTTCTAGTCTGTTAAAATGTAACTAACTTTCGCAATGAAATAATTACTAAAATACTAGATAGTTGTGTCTGAGATTAGCGAATCGACTATACATACACTACATACATTCAGTATCATTGTATATCCAAGATGGACGCCGCTACACAATAGCGGATTACTTATTTTTTCACAACTACTTCAATATGGGTATCAAATGAAAGGGTTTGACTAGTAGAAAAGAGTTTTTTGTATTTATAAATAATACTTCATTACTTACAACTATAAGAGTATTAGTATATTCTAAGTGTATTGTAAGTAATGAAGTATTTAACTTTTGTCAATATCTCATCTTAATAAATTTACAGTTTTTCTCCTAATTAAGTCTCAAAATTGTCACTAAATATTGAGATATACAATAAATAAAGTTTTAATATTTTTTATTTGTAATTCCCATTTAAATATTTATTCCCTAAATATGTTGTGTACTCCGATCCATATATTTGATCTTTGTTATTTATATTTAACGAATTAAACATTGACAGACAACTTTTGTATATAGCAAAAAGTAGATGAGCATTTAGTTTTTTCATAATTTAATGTAAGTTTGTTTGGTGAAAAAAGACAGCAAATATTTGAAGTTATGTTAATGTAAGTTTGTTTATTTGCAATCATGTTTTTATTTTGAAGTCTTGTTCTGTTATAATTTTAAGATTTTCCCAATTTTCGATCTAATTATGTTTTTAACAATTTTTAGTTTGAGCATTTTAGGAATTTCTTTGTTTCGCTTAAATCAAATATTCTCGTGTATAAAACCCTCTATATATTTTTATTTCCTAAAAAATACTATATTCGTATTGTTGTCTGCGAGCGCTTTCACACCAGTAGGCCAACATCTGTGTTGATTTTTTGACCTGAGCCTTCGGAGACAATAAATTTAATGTGTGTTCGTAGTTCTCTGGCCCTGATTCTATTTCATTTCGATGTCGAAATTTAAAAGCGACTACGCCATGACAGTCGCAATCGCTAGCGATTCTCATTCATTTCGATTTTAGTTAAAAGTGGGGACATTTACTTTATTATTTCTATTTTGACACTGCTCAGAATTTGGGTTGGCCGTCTTGTTTATTGGCTGCACACTTGTTAAATGTTTGTTTTGTTTACATTTTACGATTTTTGTTTCTTTTTTGAGTTGTTAAATTTTTAGTGGCCATTCTCAATGATTATATTTTGAATTGAAAGAAAATGGATGAAGGCTGTTGGTGATGGTGGCACTAAATTGTCTGTGGACCAAAAAGAAATTATGATGGCTTTTAACTTAGTGGTTATATTATATTTTTAAATTTACTGCAGCTTAGTATTGGTATTACTAAAAACAATACATTACCGCTCTAAAAATTCTTGATGAGTTTAAAGATTATTTTATATCTCCAAATAAGAGTGTAGAATTAAAATAAATTATTACAACCAAATTATTTATTATTTCTATCTTCCATTACAGCCTGTTGAATATATTCAAAAATTGTGGTTTCCAATTTAGTTTTAATATTCGGACATTTTATTTCTTTTATTTCTTTAATTTTTATACCACAGTATATTTAAAAAAATAATCAGTAGCATCTGGCTTGGGGCCCCCAGGTACCGCAGTTCTATTTTTATAGGTGTTAAAATTTCGACCAATTATGTGCCGAATCACATACAATTTCTGATAAAACGCAGCCATATTAATACTTTTTGCCTCAGTTTTCGTTGCAACAATCAAACAAAACAACACCGCCTAAACTGAACCTAACCTCGCTTCTCCCAGTCGCGCTAGTCATGTCAGATTAATTTCGACTCGAAATCAAATTTCAACCACTTTCTTGAAGTTGAAATTAATTTCGATAAATCGAAATTTAGTGACGTCCTTTGGTTAGTTCAGCTGAAATCCACTAGGCTCGCAAAGTCCCATTTCGACGTCGCCATATTGATTTCAACATGTTTTCAGTCGAAATCTCAATTAGAATCAGGGCCCTGGTTTTTATTCTGAACTATCCCTTGGCAAACCAAAATTTATTTTTTTATTGCTTCACTTAACGAGAGCTCGGGCGGACACGTCGGTGTCGGCTTACTCAAAGTCAAATTAATACTATTATGTAATAACTAATAATAATTACAAAGCAATAGTAATTACCTGTTATTATTCTTAGGAAATCTAAATAAACTTATTCCTTTTCCTGTCACAGATGAACATCCGCGAAACGCACAACAATAACCAGAAGACATTTTAAATACTTATAAATTAAACTTTTAACTATAAACTATAACTATAAACTTATATATTTAACTTATATATTTTAACTATAACTATAAACTATAACTATAAACTTTTAACTACTAAATAATTAGATAAATGGTCAAATGCACTTGTATAGTCGAGAGTTTACCACAGATGCCTACGGACTATCGTAAGCAACTTAAAATTGAAGAAAACGCACGTGTTTTTGACAGTAAAGCACCTTATTTGGGTCATGCGTATACAGAAAAGATACACGAATTCCGGGCCTCGTGTCGCTTCTCTGTGTTCGTATGTTCTCTGATGATACTACGTTTTGTGCAACATATGTGTAGGTGACAAAGAAATACTCTGGAAAGTTTTTGTTTTATATTTACATACCTACTTTGTAAAATATTTGTTATGCAACGTTTTAGCGAAACCTTTATTTGTTTTATAAAATCTTCCACGATTTATTTTTTTAATAAAATAGCTCATAACAAATATTGGCTTTTGTTATTATCATGGTAATTTTCTGATATGAATAAACTAATATTTTATTCAATGTAGGCAGCTACCGAAGACAATAACATCTGTGATTCAATGGAGACTTTAGATTTGGTACCTCAAAGTCCCGCAGATTTTCTTCTTTCTGCAATCATGAAGAACTGTACTTCCTAGTGACTGTATGTCGTATTGAAATGACAAAACGTTAACAAGGTCAGTAGCTAGATTGTAGATTTGTAGATTTCAAAGGGATCAATTGGTCCCGTAGGCGTCGTTTTTGATGACTTATAATTCAAAATCGAAAAATCTCAAAGCCATTATGTATGTGGGTGTCTACATGTACATGGATTGAATTGTTCCAACCCTTAGAATCTCCAGATGTACAGTAAGGTTGCCGGATGCTACACACTGAGCCTGTATTACCCAAGTGGCAGTTTCTAGAGAGATTCTGTTTAGATATGTATAAAAATGAGGGAATGCCTAGCATTTCCTCTTAAGGCTGCCGTAGATCATGATTTTATTTTACCCGTGACTAATGTAAGCGAATAAGTTTTCTATCAAGGAAGGATAACTTCGAAATATTCAACCTTTTCCGAGAATGATGTGTTATTTCATTCATAGTCTGTGTCGAATATTTTTGTTAGTCGTCTGACAGTCTTGACGATAAAGTTAAGTGATAAATATACTGACAGGACACGACTTTGTTTCTGTTTTAAAAGTTTTACACAGTATAAAAAATGGGGAAATACAATGAAGGAGACATTATTCTTTTTGCATAATTTGTTACAAGAGTTTCAATAGAATGTCATCGTTTGTATAAAGATCTAAGACTGTCAAGAAATGAAACTCACCAAGAAATCGTTGGTGTGCCTTGTGTAGTTTTCTGAAAATGATATAAATGTTTATATAGAAATTAGTTATGCTTACAAACACTATCAAAGTCCCAATAGTCACCCAGGAACTATTAGAACGATTGTAAATATCAAAATATTATTTAGTTAAACTAAATCATGCATCCTAATGAAGTTAAAAAAAGTCGTGTGGTAAAAAACTGAGGCCAGGAACATAGTAGGTCTTATCATTTTGTTTCTGTGCATCTTCCAGTAGCTTTTCAGTGATTCAGAAGATTAAACATATCTAGAGATAAGGTAAATGGCGCTGAAAGTTCGAGAATTGTAGGAACATGTAATATTTAACATGAGATGGGTTATTATGCTTTCAAATGGAATATATAGAGCATATTTTATATCGGCCACCGCTTACGGATACAGTCATTTACGAAGGAACCTGTTCTATAGACGGAGAGTTCAGAGTTGGTAGACAATGTTTGATAGTATTTACATGAAAAGTTTTGTAATGCATGTTTACCAATGTTTATACGCAAAATCAAAGATATAACTGAAGTATAGTTGGGTTTATCAAACCTTGAATTTCTCAACCTACTCTTAGCAAAATAATGGTTAATATCCGAATTCATAACTTTACCAAATAACAACTTTCGAAACACTACAGCGACTATAGTATTATGAGTCGCACTTTGAAGTTATTCCTACTATCATCGGCAGTAGAATAAGGAATAAGTGAATAAGATAAAAATAAAACGTTTGGTTTTAAAGATGAATTGGGGACTAGAGAAGCACTTTTTGTTTTAGAGAAAAGTAATTCGATACGGTACATCTTGACAAAGGTATTTAAAATATTAAGAGATTTAATAGCTCGACGTCAGGGTTATTGAAAAATTATATTGGCGTCAGACAGCGACCATTCGTATTAATGGGGAATCGACAGAAGAGTGTAAGATTCTAAAGAGAGTCAGACATAGTTGTGTGCTGTCCCCACTGTTGTTTAATTTATATTTAGATAGAATCTTTAAACATGCCTTGAATAACATTGAATATGATTTTCGAATTAAGGAAAAACTAATAAATACCATCAGTTAAGCAGACGATACAGTTATATTGAGCGATGGCTTAAATTTATTGCAATGTGTTTTAAAGTCCATTAAAAATCAGGAAATTATCAACCAATACTTTCCAAAGTATGTTATATTGCTGCAAGGGTTGTTCAATTTCTGAAGCAAAAAGGTACTAACAAAACAGTTAGTATATACAACCCAATTCAGTCCCTACTTAATTTTAATATTTGCAGGTTCAAAGTAAAATTATCCTATTTTACCCTTTACCTATACAGGGTGTTTCAAAAAAGGTAACTCCGTCTCTAGGGTAGGTAAAAAACTGAAAAATAATTGGGTTTTGCTTAGTAAAAAATTTTTGGAACGCCATCCGTTTTCAAGATACAGGGCGTTGAAGAAAAAAAATTTACACATTTTTTACGATTTTGCCGAAGCTACTGGCAACATTGTAATGAAATTTTATACGAATATGTTTTGGAAGCTGATACATCCCATGAATTTGTTTTTATATCTGATTCTCATAGAGGGCGCTAGTTACACGGATCGTACTAAATATTAGTCAATATAACTTTTTTTAAGAGTATAATTATCAAAATTTCAAGTAAACTTAAACATCATTCAATTTTACACGAAAAAGGTACTCTTGGTAAAACTCGATACTGTGTACCGTTTTCGGAATATTTTGATTTGAAAATTATGAAGTAATAATTGATGCTGGTATAAAATAGTTAGTAATTAAACAAACATCTGACTAGCTAGAAATTAAAATTTTAATGTTTATTGTTTAAAAATGGCAATAATTGAAGAAAAAAATTGGATAGCTGGTAAAAAACTCATATTTAAAAAAAAACTATTTCAGCTCCGTTTTTTTTTTCGACATCGGAACTTGCAAATGCTACATGTATATGTAATAGTAGAGTTATTCTACACGTTTTTTAATTTGTAACAAGACTTTAACGTTCCCTCATCTTTTGAAAAAAACTCAAAAAAATTAGTTTACACGTGCTCAATTTGTTTCATATTCATCAGTTATATTTTATGTTTTCTGGTTCACAAGAAATAAATAATATAATATTAACAGTAATCACAAATTATATAGTACTTTACGGTAAACAATAAGATAAATAATACTGAAAGATAATTTCTTGATGAATGATAATGAATATGAAAAAAAAAAAAAATAATGACAAACACAGATGACCCCAGACATATAACTATAAACGGCAGAACAAATCCAGGAATATATCTACCTAGGCCAAATCCTGAGACTTGACAAAGAGAACCAAAGTGCGGAAATTACTAGAAGAGTAATACTTGAGGGGCAAAGTGTTCAACCAATGCATCCTTCCTATCATGACATATGGATGTCATGGATGACCTGGGCAATAACCAAGGCAAACATGAATAAACTAGCCACAACAGAAAGAGCAATGTAAGGTATACGACTGTCAGATAAAAAGAGGAACGTCTGGGTAAGATCAGAAACAAAAGTCGAGGACATAACAACAAAAATTGCCAAACTTAAATGTAGCTTCGCGGGCTACACTGGTAGACAGAAAGGCCAACGTTGTAATACTACAATACAACATTGGAGACCTTACGAAAGTAAACGACTAAGAGGAAGACCACAGATGAGATGGGTTGCTGACATTAAAAGAATAGCCGGAACAAATTGGAAATGTGTTGCTCAGGATAGAGACCGATGGAAGGAAGGAGTTGGGAGAGGCCTATGTCCAAACATGGACGACACAAGGCTAAGAAGAAGAAGTAATCCAAATTTTTACATAATTACCTCGTAAAGCGTTGAAAAAGAGTAAAAAATGATCTGCTCCTTCTGAATGGAAATATGTGACAGATGTCTAAAATAAATCAAAAAAAGATTTTTTTTATTATTAATGAAAAATTAGAATATTTCAAGCTATATAGAACGAATCTTGAATCTTTTAAAAATATATAAAGTTATAACAAGCATATTCGTATTTCTAAAATACATATGTAAAGACTTTTTATTTTAATAAGTTTAAATTTAATTATAATTATACACAATAAAGTAAAAGCAATAAAAATAGTTCAAAACAAAGGTTTAACTTTCATAAAAATAATTTAGCCATTTATAAAACAAAAATTAAAAAGGAAAATACTTTGAAACTACTACTGCTTGAACAAGTTAATGCCACAGTCTCTGCTGTTTATTTGAAATAATCTATAATAAATAATATTTTTCACTGATTATACAGGTTAAAAATAATTAATTATTCATTCAATAGTTTTAAATATTACTTACAATTTTCAATCAAAAAGTAATTAAATACGTTTAGTTAAAACTTTTTTGTTCAAAATACACAAGATATTTTACTCAAAGAAATATAAGTATATTGCTTTCTAAAGCTACTACACTGAGACTGATGAAATTTTGGAACATGGAGCTGAAACAGTTTTCCCCTCCACTTTCCTATGTCGGTCTTTCGAAAGTACCTTCGTTTCGAAAGGCTGTATTAGATGAATTTTATACCTATAAGTTTCAATATAGTACAGCATTTTAAAGAGCTATATGATGCTGAAGAAACGCTGAATATAAACGAAGGCGAAACAGATGTGAGTGCTACAATCAATGACGAAGAGGTAGAAGCAAAGATCAAAAAGCTAATAAACAGAAAATCACCGGGAACGGATGGTATACCCAATGAACTTTTAAAATATGGAGGCCCGGAACTTGCAAGTAAACTGGCACAACTATTTAACAAAATATTAAACAAAACAGAAACACCAGAGGAATGGCATAATAGTATCACAATCCCCATATTTAAAAAAGGACAAAAAACCTGCCCACAAATCTATAGAGGAATAACCCTCTTAAATACAACAATGAAACTCTTCACGGTTATTCTCAATGACAAATTGGAAAAGCAAATCACTAATGCTGAAGAACAACAAGGTTTTACAAAAAGGCGGTCTATAACAGACGCAGTATTTATAATAAAAGAAATAAAAGAAAAAGCTATAGAGTTCAGCATGCCAGCGTATATTTGCTTCATTGATTTGACGAAGGCATTTGACAGAGTTCGCCTGGGAGACATTCTAAATATATTAATAGAAAATGAAACACCGACCAGTATAACAAAGATACTCCATAAACTAAATAACAACAACGTAACCAAAGTTAGAGCAGGAGACGAATTCACTGAAAATATTCCAACACCGGGAGGAATTAGACAAGGCGACAGTTTAAGCCCCTTCTTGTTTAATCTTCTCATGGGCAAAATTATCAACAAAGTAACATCTCTTAATCTCGGATATAGAATGGGCAACAAAAGAATTGGTATGGTGTGTTACGCAGACGATGCAGCAATTATTGCGGAATCAGAAGATGATCTCCAAAGGCAGCTCTTTCAGTTCTTTCAAACAAGCCGACTACTAAATATGAACATCTCTACCAACAAAACTAAATGTATGACAATAGCAAAAGATACGCTCAGATGTAAGTTAGTGGTTGAGGACAACCCCATAGAACAGGTGATGCAATTCAGATATCTGGGCATAGATATATCAAGCACCCACGACCCAGTAAAGGACCTGAGGAGTCAGATCAACAAAGCATCTGCACTGTCAGGATGTCTGTGGGAGATAGTCTGGTAAAATCCGTATATGCGCACAGATAGTAAAATTAGAATCTATAAGACTTGCATACGACCGATCATGACATATGGCATAGAAGTGCGCGAAGATACTAACAAAACGAAACATATGCTAAGGGTTGCCGAAATGAAAACCCTAAGAACAATAATGGGGAAAACAAGAAGAGACAGAGCGAGAAATAGAAACATTAGAGAGCAGTGCAAAATTCAAGATATTGTAAGATGGGGAAGGCAGCGCAAGAGGATGTGGTCCAACCATGTAAGACGAATGGATGAGAATTGACTCCCAAAAATTGCCCTAGAAAACAATCCGCCCGGTTCAAGACCACCTAAAAGATGGAGGGATAGTTGGCAATCAACCTCCCAAGAAATTAACCAGAGGCAGCTTCAGAATTAAACAGATCGAAAGATCTACAAAAAGTAGAAGAAGAAGAAGTTTCAATATAAAGTTTAGATTTTCGTTCCAAATTTTACTTCTTAATGTTTATAATATGTGTTGCTACAAACCATAATGCTGAGAAAAATACAGGGAAAACGAAGTATTGGGAGAAGACGCATCTCCTGGCTCAACAATCTGAGAAAGTGGTATAATTGCAGTTCCGTTGACTTGTTCAGAGCTGCAATCTCAAAAGTGAAAATAGCTGTGATGATACCAACCTCTTAGAGGATGGTACCTAAAGAAGAAGAAGAAGAAATGTTTGTAAACAATGGAGAAATGATTTTTTTAAATAGTCGAATACATGTTCCTATTGGTCATATAAGGTTTTTTTTTAATGTGAATTTTTTTACCAGCTATCCAATGGTTGTACGTACAAGTCTGTAGCTTGAAAAATAAGGAAGTTATTACAATTGTTTATAAGTAAAAAACATACCCCTTTTTCAAACGTTTAATTTGTAAATAATTTCGATGAAAACGCAATATGTATTTAACTACTGAAATAGTTTGAGTCTTAAAGAATCCTATGAAATTTGCTAAATGTGTCTAGCATCATTCATAGGGCAAGTTCAATAGTTCAATAAATAATTACCTCAGTGATAAATAAATTAAATAACTTTTAAACTATTTGACCGATGGGGGGAAATTTCACACAAATTTAAAAGACGGTAATTCTTCGATGTTCAAATGCATTAATAACATTTTATTTTGTTAATAAAAAAATTAAGTACAATTCATAAATTACTGCAAAAAACTGCTTTTTTGCAAATATCTCCGTAAATTATTTATCAATTTTAATTTAAAAAACCGGAAAATAAAGATATTCTTGATATAAAAAAATGATATAAATATTGTTTATTTAAAATATAAGGGAAAAACTTATAGACAAAAAATCAAATAGTGACCATAAATTATTGTTTAAAAAAAACGCAAGATAAAAATACGAGTACCTTTTCATCTATACGTCATCTAGTAACCCGCACCTATGTCTTAAAAGCTTGAGATATCTGCGAAAAATTTTGCCGTGAAATCGATGATTTTTGCATAGCCAGACTGGGCTATACATGGTAGTGTTGTATATTTATATAGTTCTAATTTATTTGTCTTTATTCTAATTTATTGTCTATATTCTAATTTATTAAAACTCACGATAACTAATTACTAATTTAATCGCGTTTCCCGATCTTCTTATGACTAACTCTTCCAAATTAAATTGTTTCGTTTATATACATAAACTGCTGTTATCTCGAAAGTTCGGCGACCTACATTATAATGAAACTCCATCGAATAATCTCGTATTTTGGTGAAGGCGACCAACGGTTAAAACTAGTTTTTTTTTAACTGCTCGAGTCGTGGATGACTCATCAAAATTGGGGTCTATAGGTTTCTGTAAACAACTTCGAATTGACTGGAACAAAAACAGAATTAGTCATAATATATTTATAGTTTTAAACGCAATAGTTATCGTAACAGTAGATAGGTATAACGGTATTGAACATTTGGTTTCAACATTTAAGCCTGTACTATAAATTATTACAGCAGTTTTTGTCTATATGGAATATACTATTAACATAATTTGTTCTCCTTTGTATTGATTTGTTTTAATTCTTCCTTTTTTTTATTTTTAGGAACGGAGAGATGACTTTTTTGATACTTACGATAAACGAAGGCATTACTAAAAACCTGTGTCTTCGATGTGATACGTGGGAATGATGTGCAAACAAAAAAACCTTCATCATTTGAAACCATATTTATCCATTATGGGACAACGCGCTCTATCGTCCTTATCTTTTTAGAGAATGGGATTGTATTCGAAAGAAGAGCGTTAAAATTATTTTAGATATTTTTCTGTAATTCTACACAAACGATTGTTCTTTTATAATATTTATTAATTTTTTTTCTTCTCCAGTGTAATTTATTTTTTTCTAATTACAGTTAGACAGTTCCTCACAGTTTTTCTGATTTTTTTTAAAAACTTAAAGACTGTTTTAAAAAACTATTGATTGTTTATATAATTATTTAAAAAGTGCATGTAAATAATGTTTTGATCAAAATGTGTTAATGGTCTTGTGTGATTTAATGTACAATTTTTTTTAGTTATTAAGTGCTATTAAAAGGAATTTATTTTGTGATAAATATTGAAATAGAAAAATGAATTACGTATATAAATGCGTTTTTTTTTTGTAAATATTTCGGAAGTTTACTAGTTACTGCATACATGCTTTCCCCACACAGCAGTTGTAAAACTGACTAACCTAATTGATCCTATTTTAAAATGTATGTGTCCAAGTTATCGAAAGTAGCCGAGGATATTACAATTCCTAAACCAGTAAAACCTTCACATGAAGTTTCTTCATGTAGACTGATACCTTTCTTTTTCTTTGTGATATGGAAACTATTTGAGAAACTTAAAAATAATTGGCTAAACGTATTGTTGAAATAAAATATCTAATTTCCACAAATAAATTTTGTGTTTAGGTATAAGCACTCCACAATTAATCAAGAATTTCTTCTTATTAGTTGCTAACCTATTATAGGTATCGTGATATCTTGACTTCATGATTTGTCTTTCCTATCGTCATCCATTTTTCTTTATTTTAAGCCATTCTCGTACATTCTGATCACGGAATACCCCTACCCTTTCCCCCTTTCTATATTTCTCTGTATGGTACGCTTCTTCGTCAGTTTCGTTGATTTAGTATTGACTTATTTGTTTTTCAGGCCACCTAAATAGCCACTTGGGAATTAGGGCCAAAGGAACAAGAAATAAACGACGGACTAAAAAATCGTAAGATAAATATAGTGTTCATAACTGAAATGTTATATTTTGTTGATATACTGCTTGTCAATAATTACATACAGTCCACCTAATTTACTTACCGTTGCACGTTATTATCATTGACAGATATTGAAGTTGACAGAGTTGCCAAAGTATAAAAAAAATCCTGAATTCATTTTAAATCAAATACGTCACATAATTATTGCAAAAGTGGATTATACAACAAAACAAATTAATATTTAATGTAAATAAATAGAAGCAAAACAAGAGTTAAAAAAATAATCTTGTTAAAAACAATTTGAGTCGCTTGTATGCGTAGTATAAAGATGTAAAATGGAATTCTTAAACAAAAACAACACTTTTTTCATTTTTATTTATATCTCTTTACAACGACTATTTAAATTCTTACGTGACATTTTTGAAATAAAACACACTAATTTTGTTCTAAAAAGAACAGATTTTATTAAATAGGTAAAAATATAAAACCAGAGGTATTCACTTTAAAATTCAAAAAAATAAAGTACAAAAAGTGTCAACATCGTAACTGTCAAATAAGTGTTACCAATTTATGCCAAAATATCACCTTCGTTCGATTACAGTTACAGTGTGTTCCGAACAAATGTTCTTCATAAAACGCTTTATAATGCATTCATACAAATTAAATGTAATTATTGTGTATTTCTTTAAGTTAACATTAATAGAAATCTTTAAATATTTATTTCTACGCGTATATAATAAAATATGTCTAGTGGCTGTAATGCCAGTGTACTCGGCAAAGTGATTCTAAAAAAGAAGACACCAACCGCCTAAATATTTCGTGTTGGTATCATGTGACCTCATGGGCTATGATGCGGATGACGTGCAATGGTAAGTAAATTATATGAAGTATAGTTGTTGTTACAATTAATATTGGCTATGAGCACTTATACTTGGTTGTATAGTAACGTCCAGTTAGTCAAAATTTAAGCAACATAGCAAAAAAATGATTACTAAATTTACTAGACAGTTGGAACTGGGATCAGTAAACTGAGTTTATTAAATTTAATAGACAGTTAGGACTAGGATGAGTGAACCAAGTATCTTATTATTAGATGAAGTATACTTAGTGTTGCAGACTTCTTCACTTAAAAAAGAAGAAGAATCTTGAATAATGAGAGTTACAAGAATCTGGTTTCGAAGTCAAATTTATATGGGTTACATCTCTAATTGGAATACAAGGTAATGAAAAAGCAGACCTCCAAGCAAGAGAAGCTACCTATAACGACCATGCTATAATAGTGTCAAAGACTATCTCCAGTGACATAAAACGAAACGTCAAAAAAAAGTGATCAAAGTCTACACAAGTGGCAGATGTATCAGTAATTCTAGTATAGTCATGAATGGTTTGTTTTATTCCAAATGATATTATAGAAGTCAGCTCACTAGTGTCAGCCGTTTCCGCAATAAAATTAATATTAAAATCTCCCAAAACTATACTTTTAAATTTGGTCTCATAATGTAACCTAATACATTTTCGAAATTTGTAAAAAAGACTTGAAATCGTTAAATTTAATATATCTATACACTGCCAATAAAACCGTGTTAATATCTTGTAGAACAATTCCACAAAATTCAGATGTTTGTTCTATATTAAATTTATCACAGTTAATAGCTTCGAAGGTTATGTATCGGAGATCTGCTTCACTCTGCCAGTGCTCTGAGAAGCAAACAATATCGAAGGTAAATTCCAATAAAAATAAATTTATCAGTTGTACTTTATTTGCTAAACATTGAACATTAACATGGGACATATTCACCAGGCTTTCGCTATTCAAAATATGATTTAGTTTTTCAGGAACTTCTAAACTTCCTACGTCTCGATCTAGACTGTTTCCATTTGTGCGGACTGCTGCATTTCCACTACAGTTTTTTAAAGTCCCGATATGTTTGATTACAAAGGAGTTTTCTTCCCATGTCTCTGCTGCAGGCACACTGTAGCTGTAGTCAAAATTATGAATTGTCTACTGACTGCGTTCTTTCCCGAAAATTTTTAATGAATTTATGAGCCAGATATATGGGTTGTGTACATTGTCTAAGAACGCACTAAATGGCACAAGAGTTTTCACACGTGATACCTTTGATAGTTGTCAATTAAAAAACGAACGAGTTTTATTAGAATGTGAGGAAATAATAACCTTTTTTAAGTGTATTTTTTAAGAGAACTTCAAAACTTTCTAATAAGGTGCATAAATGTATCGAGCATCATTTCTGTTATTAACACTTATCACACATATTATTATCACTTCTGTTAAATATCATTATTCTAATGATAGGTTATACTATTAGTCAGAGACAAACAAATGTCTTTCTTCTTCCTGGTATAAAACTTATATTATGTTGTCCAAAATTATAGGATTAAATGTAAAAAGCACAAAAAATATTTCGTATAGTTTTATTTTATTAGCATGATGATGACCGAATATGTTAGTTACCAAAACATCCAAATTAATTATTTAATTTATAGTATTCATTTTACAAATTTAGCATACTTCCTCCGTATTTGATATTATTGTTCGAAAGTAAACGACACTCTTACGGATTTTTGCAATTTGAGTCTCACAGGACAAAGTTTGTAGGCAGCGTGGTGGGGTCCCTTGCAGTTGCAGCAAATAGGGCTACTTTTTGGGCGGTCACAGTGTTCTACTAGGTGTTCCTCCCCACATCTAACACATCTAATGCTTTGCTTGCAGGTATTTGCTTTATGCCAGAACCCTTGACATCTAAAAATATATAAAGAATATTACCAACAGATTTTATGGGTTATAATATAATATATTCTTTTATATAAGTGAATAATGTTTATAAATCATTACTTTTCCAAATTTTGTGGTGCAAGACAAGAGTTAAAATGAACATTTTTCAAAATCGATTGGAATTAAGATAACGCCACACCGAAAACAAATGCTAACTAAAAATGGCATAGTTTTAAGTTGACGTTTATAGAACTCACAAGCATAATCTTCATTAACCCTAGATTACCGGACATTCGTAAATCTTACAATCCGCATACTTCTTTAAGTATTTTTGGCTACTTACGGTCACCGCCTGGCCTTGGGCCGCTGTTATCTTCTAATTTAGTCGTTAATTCTCACAGCTTCGTTGTCAATTTTACGAAGCTCTGGTATCTACGATGATTAAAGAAATGACAGGAAGGAGAAGAACAACACAGACAGGACAGATCAAAGATACAGATGGTATAATTATAACAGATTTACAACAAAAAATGAACCGATGGAGATACATATCACAACTGTTTGATGACAAAGATAGACAAGAAATCTCAAACGAATATACAGATGATACAGGGCCTGATATAATCAGAGAAGAAATAGAATATGCAATCAAACAAGCAAAAACTGGTAAGTCCCCCGGTCCTGATGAAATTCCCGTAGAACTGCTCAAACTTATGGACGATGAATCTATTAAAATACTCCTAGATCTATTTAACACAATATATAGAACTGGAATAATACCTAGGGAATGGCTCCGTTCGACCTTTATACTACTGCCAAAAAAGGCAAATACAAAGAAATGCAACGAATATCGTACGATAGCTTTGATGAGTCATGCTCTAAAACTGTTCTTAAAAATAATCCATAATAGGATCTATAGGAAATTAGACGTAGACATCAGTAACACTCAGATGGGATTCAGAAAAGGGCTGGGTACAAGGGATGCTCTGTTTGCAATGAACGTTCTCTCACAGAGATGCTTAGACATGAATCAAGAAATTTACGCCTGCTTTATTGATTTCGAAAAGGCCTTTGACAAAGTACAACATGAACCACTAAGACAAGTTCTAATAAAGAAAAATATAGACAGCCGAGATATTCGAATTATATGCAATCTATATTGAAATCAAACAGCAAATGTCAAGGTTGAGGACAGACTAACAGAAGAAATTCAAATCCGTCTAGGAGTCCGACAGGGATGTATCTTATCGCCACTTTTATTTAATCTGTATAGTGAAGCTATCTATTAACAAGCATTCGAGGAAGAAGATCTTGGTCTGATAATAAATGGTGAGACGATCAACAATATAAGGTATGCTGACGATACAGTTCTCCTAACGGGAACGCTAGTAGAACTACAACATCTCGTTCAAAGTCTCAATATATACTGTAACAGTTACGGCTTGAAAATTAATTTGAAAAAACTAAATTTATGGTAATCACGAAATCAAAGAACATCAGAGCTAATCTTGTAATAGACAACACAACAATTGAGCGTGTGCCCTGTTATAAATATCTAGGTGCTTGGATCACAGACGATACTGATCAAACAAAAGAGATTAGATGTAGAATAGAAATCGCTAGATCAGTCTTTAATAGAATGCGCAAACTCTTTTGCAATCGTGATATCAATATAAAGTTACGAATACGAATGCTGCGGTGTTATGTTTTTTCTACCCTGTTATATGGAGTTGAGGCTTGGACACTAAAACAGTTGACCATAAAAAACATCGAAGCTTTCGAGATGTGGTGCTATAGGCGCATTCTCAGAATATCATGGATGGACCGCGTCACTAACACGCAAGTACTCCAAACTTTAGACAAAAGATGCGAAATTCTAAATGAGATAAAAACTAGAAAGATGGAATACTTGGGCACATTGTGAGAGATGAAAAGTACGAACTTTTAAGAAACATCATGCAGGGCAAAAGAAGTGTGGGATGAAGAAAAATATCGTAGCTTCGTAATCTACGTGAATGGTTCGGGTGCAGTTCGATTGAACTTTTTAGGCGCGCTGCTAACAAAGTCGCAGTGGCCATGATGATTTCCAATCTCCGATAGTTTTATTAGTAAATAAAATTTTACATTTTTTTGGCCATTTCCATCGTCTTCGAATAAAATTCATAGAGGTAAGTTGTTAGCTCATTATTTTATTTTGTATTCTTGTGTTAAATATAAATTTTGAAATTTACTATTTTATTTGGGAATACAAAAATTATTCTACGTTACATTCTTGTCGGCAACAGGAGAGAATTGTGAAATTAATTTATTTGACGTTTCGACTTCCTCTTTGGAAATCGTTTTTTTTTAATCGGTATTTTGATAACGATTTCCGAAGTGAAAGTCGAAACGTCAATTAAATTAATTTCAAACTAACATTGTGGCTTTGTTCCCAAATAAAATAGTAAATTACATAAGATGCCCCAAGGAAATAGGTTCAGAACAATATATTTTGGATTTCAGTCAAATAGATTCCAAAAGGCCACTGACAGAAAAAGGACTGGAAAAAAAAAGAGGCTGCGCATAATATGAATGGTGGAGACTTTGACTTAGATCCCTTCGAAGACAGTGGCTATTGGAACCGATAGGGCAAGACGCTATTTTGGATATTGAAAAAGTTTCTACGTCGATATCTGGAAAATCAAAGTATGTAGTGGCCCAACAAAAAAAAGTTTTAAGGATAAGAATTGTCATAAGAGGTCGACCGAATTTTTCCATAAATCAAGAAGGATAGCTATCAGGAATCTTATTCACTTCATATCAGATCCCAGAGGTACCGCTAAAAACTGTAATACTTTTAATAAATACTTCTTACATTTCTTTCCAAACACGCTACTTAAATTATTTTGCAACATACAAATACAGAAATTGTAAGACAAGCTGAGAAACATAATAATTATGAAAATGTATCTCAAATATCAATTGAAGAATTAAGAGCCTTACTTGCAATTCTTGTCCTTTCTGCCGCAAAAAAGATAACCATTTATGTGCAAAATGTTTAACACGTTCATTTCAGAAACATTTTACAGAGCGTGTATGAATTGTAATCGCTTTATATTTCTACTAAATTGTATAAGATTTGACGAAAAGCAAACTAGGCAAGAGAGACAAGTAAATGATCTTTTCACTAATATCCTTTCACATTTTCATTGAAATATGCCGCACTTCATATACTCCATCATCATATCTTACAACTGATGAGCAACTGCTAGGATTCCGGGAAAGATGCCCTTTCAGGACGTACATCCCCAATAAACCTTCAAAGTACGGGATTAAAATTGTTATGTTATGTGATTTCTCCAGTAAATATATGTTGGATGCAAGTCCCTATTTGGGAAAGAAAACTAATACCAATAGTTTGCCACTAGCAGACCATTATGTCCAAGTACTAACAAAATCTGTCCATGGATCAAATCGGAACGTAACCATGGACAACTAGTTTACGTCAGTGAAACTAATCGATGAACTGTTACAAGAGCCATATAAATTAACAGCATTATATACTCTTCGAAAAAACAAAAAAGAAATTCCCACAGAGATGTTGGCACTAAAAGATCGAAATGCCAACTATTCAATGTTATGTTTTGATCAGAAGAAAATTTTGTTTTCTTACGTCCTTAAAAAACAGAAATTAGTTTTACTGCTTTCAACTTTGCTCTTAACGACAGAAGTATTAGAAGAAACAGGAAGCCTGTAATTATAAAAAATTACAATAACACAAAATCAGGCGTAGATACTTTTGACCAAATGTGTTCCAACATGTTTCTAATAGGAAAACCCGGAGATGGCTGTTGTGTGTATGTTATGATATGTTTAATATAGCCAGTAATAATTCTATGTCATTTAAACATACAACACATTAAAACGAGGTAAAAAGCCCGTCTCTCGGCACCAGTATATGGTTGATTTGAGCCAGTCTCTTGCCGAACCATGGATGAGACAAAGATTCGCAACCGCTGCTTTATGTCGAAATATTCGTCACAATATAGCTCACATTTTAAAGATACCTGCCCTAGAAGAAGTTTCCACATGAAGGGTACAGGTCCATAAAGAGCTAAGTCACCAAATGTTTATTTCGTACAAAACGAAGTTTAAATTTTAAAACCAGTTATTGATAAATTATTAATGGTAATCATGACCTCTATTGATTAGATCAATTACTTAAGTAATTAATGAAACACACAGAAGAAATTAAATTTATACTATTGATATTATAAAAAATAGAACAGAAGCTTTAATTGGTCAAACCACCATACATTATTGGCCTAAAGGGGCCAAGTCAAAAAAAAAACAAGTTAAAATGACAAGTAGACAAAAGTTATTAATATGAAATAATTCTAATTCTTAGGCAGGTTATCAAAAAATTGTTTTGCTTCGTCACCACAGAATCGTTTCAAATCTTGTAGGCATTTAAATTTTTTAGCCGAGATTGGTAAAAGACCTAAAAATAATGTTGTTTAATAACCGTATTCCAAGATATTAATAATTTTTTATACCTGAATAAGAATACGGAGGAAGTTCAAATTCATTTTGTAGTAGCACTGGTCCCTTTCGCTTACTATCTTTTTCCTTCACTATTGCTGACTCCCATGCTCCATTATAGGACTCCCGGTAATATATCAATCTACGATGAACTTGATGTATTTCTAATTCTTGAATTGGACGGGAACTGAAAGGACATTTCTTCAAATAATCTGTTTTCGTATTAAAAAAATTCGTCCATGCTCGAAAGTAGGATTGATCTATTTCCACAACGTCAAAGGGCGATGGTTTTGCACGAGCACTTCTAAAAATTTCAACCCAATCTAAAGGAATCTCAGCTCGTTGTTTGGAGTTTATTATGCCCATATTTTTATCCGGTTCCATATAGGAATGGCCACGAATAGGGAAAGTAACTTTAACATAATCAAGTCTACGTGTATTGTGGACAATATAATGCAAAAAAACGAAACATGGTGAAATTTTTATTTTGTCCCCCACACGAGTCGCAGAATATTTCAAGCGATCTTACTTGTATATCGAGAAAATTCCAAAGAAAGTCATTCAGCATTGAGCATACATCGTCGCTTCCCTTTTTGCCAATTGTTTCCGGGTAAATGTAAAACACACTTTTTGCTGTAGATAGAATGTGGACATTAAAGGCATATACGTTAAGCTGGCTCTTATAGTAAACATCGTTTGTTGTTATGTTTGGGACACTGAGATTTTTTCCAAAATCGAGACAAATAGCTTCGTGAGTCACAGAGGTTCGAGTTTTTTTCTTCGCAGCTATTTTTCTAATACCTCAGCCTTTCTTTTGTGTACATCATTTTGTATCGTAAGCTGGCGTATTTCCTTTTGCAAGCGTTCATTTTCAGCAAGATCGAAACTACTGTTTAAAATATCAGACTGAAGAGATTTTATTTTTATAAGAAACTCATCACAGGAACTACATGTATCAGTTCTGGGATATCCAAAGGCTATGTTAAATTTTGTATTAAAGACTGTTCTGTAAGACTCGTAAGATATTTTCATAGAAGGGTTCAACTCGCAAAACATTTTGAACATCTTTTTTATGTTTAACTCTTCAGGTAAGTATAATTTTTTACTATCATTCACACTATAGTGGCTTTTCCTGCCTTGAAATGACTTTGTATGTTCGTATATTGCTACAAGAACGTTGGATTCCAATTTTCTAGGATGGTTTTTATTTTCTCCCCTTTTATCTTTAGGGGCGACTCCAGTCATTTTTAGTGAATTTTGTAATATCTCTATTTTTTTTCTTTATTCCATGAATAGACATAAAAGCTTGTCTACAAATATTTATTTCTTTTAAGCTATTATCAGTGCTAAAACGTACCCTGTAAGAATATGCAGCACTTCTCAAGTTTGCTTCGTTTTCATCTTTCCTAGGCATTCTTCGGCGAATAGGCAGTACTGTAATCAATCCACATAAGTATGAGTTCTGCTCATTAATAGAAGTCATTGTGTTAAAATTTTTGAGTACAGTTTTTCTTGCTTCTTCGGGCACATTTTGAAAACATTGTTGACGACAATTACAGGTTGCACCTACCTCGTGACTCTGCAGTCTAATTTTTTTCATGACATCTCTCATTCTGCCGTGCTTTTTCCTTTTTTGATTCATTCTGTTTAGGCACTACTTCAGTCTCATTTCTACTACTATTGTTTTCTTTATTCATTGGTATTTACTTTTAAATCACTTAAAAAACAATGAAAACAAACTAAACCGACGAACCTAACTCTAAACTGCGCGTATTAGATTAACGTCTATTAGCTGTTTATATGGACTTTACCCTTTTAGGACCTGCCTGATAAGGACTTGCCCCCTATTGGTGGTGTATGCGTAAATTAGAATTAGTATTTCACGTGAACTAAGCATGGGCCAAGTCAACACTCGTATAAAAATTATCAGTATATAAAGTTCTGCCTGTATCTAGAAGCGGTTGCATAAGATCCATCACCACTCTGGATGCTAACGACTTTTCAGATGGTTGCATCTCTTTTCGACCGTACACTTTTACTTAAATATTCTCTAGGAGTATACATTTTATAAAACTTTTCATTTAGTATTTGTACAAGAGGAGAAATTTTGTAGTCTGTTTCCAGGTGGGCAGCTCTCGTTATCTGAAATATGAAACAAGTGTAATATTATTTCAAATCGACTACTTATTTCACACATTTTAAAAACTTAATTCTTGTAAAGTAAATTGTTACTGTAATAATCTCTAAGTTCGGGTATTCTGTCTTCTTCTTCAAGTGCCATCTCCGCGGCGGAGGTCACCAATCATCATAGCTATTCGGACTTTTGAGACGGAAGCTCTGAAAAGTTCATTTGATGTACATCCGTAGTACTCCCTCAGGTTGCGCTCCCTATGCTTCTCTTTCCTGTCTAACCCCATATAAATAATGAGAGCTAAAAATCGAAGCAATTCTCTGTCAATTGGTCTCCAGTTTCTCATAAGCGAATGTTCCGTTATTGATTCATTTACAATTTCAGCGATTATTGTTTGTTCGGCGTATTTATTAGTTTCAGTAACCAACAAATCTTGCACTTGACGGTCGATAAACAGTAGGGTGAAATCTATTGGTTTGTGGTCTGTAAGTTTAGCAATTTCTTCCTGATTTATTCCCGAAGGAAAGGATAGTTCGAACTTATTGTGATCATCTGGATTTGGCACATCGCTCCATGTTATTTTATTTTTTGATACAACTTACCTATCCTTCTTGTATCAGGCTTCTTTTGTTTAGAAATGGGACCTGCAGTAAATTCTTTGCAATTTTGTGTTTGTTTGCAAATTTTATCTTTTTTTCTACGAAACCCATATTCACTACTGCATGAGTTAGAAGACCCATCAGTACTTTTTCATTGTACACTGGACCGGTATCGGAATTATAAATCGTACTTTCAGGCATACTGATATCACTAAAGTCACTCTCCTCAGCAATTCTGCGAAGTTCGTCTTCCGATAGTCCTTTACGAAATATTATCTTCTTTTTTAGTTCCACTTTTTAACAAAAAAACTGAAGAGAAAATAGTCTTAGCCTCGTTAGTCGTTCGAACCGATACTTACTGAAGTTTGTTAGAAATTATATCCTAACCTGTTTGTGAACACGTGGTTTAACGGACCAACCTCTGATTTTGTTTACCACAGACCGCTTACACAAATTTATACATACGAAAGCACGGCAAATGCGATCTTCGACGAGCCACAGCTTTAGGAACACGACACTTCGCTGTGGCCTGATAGGTACACACGGTCCCAGGTAAAACTAGAGTGTGTGCCAGTGTGATACACATGGGGCTTAACGTGTTAAAATAAACTTTTTTATAAGAAAGATTTCCGGATTTGAAGTCGAAACGTCGAACATTAGTTATTTAAAAATGTCATATTCATTTCAATCAATAATTGTGGCTTAATCCCATATAAACAATATTTAAATTAAACATGACACAAGAAAGTAGTTTTATTTTACAGAACCTTGTAATATAATTAGGTTTTTATGTTTGTAGTAGAAGAATTCCGTCGGTTACTTTCCTGAAATATTTTTAGCTGGCATAGTTGTTTACGGCCATGTGTCCAACTGTGGATAAAAAATCTGTATAATGCAGGAAAAATAATATGAAAGTTTATAATAGATGTATAAAAACATATAAGTAATTGTCATAGAACTAGCGCCACTTACTTGTAGCATTGTATTATATTGGTATTATTGCAGTAAATCTCCTCATTTATTCCTCCATCTTCAGAAGATGGAAGGACCACAGAATCGTAGAAGTTTATTCCCTCTTCTCGTAGTCTTTGGTAATTTGTAAAATCCGATACTTCAACGTACAACGTAGATTTTTTCCTCGTCAACTTGGAGTACGATACACCTTGTCTTTTCAAACAATTTTCGATTTCTTCGTTTCGGATGCACCAAGGAATTTCCTTAAATCTGACAATTTTTTTGTACTGGCCAGAATATAAAGATACTGCCTGAAAAATAATAATTTCATATTTCCTTATCATCAGAGAAACTATTTAAACGATTCGTAATGTAAAGAAAAGAAAAAAATATGTAACTTATAAATAAATTAAATGTAAAAATAAAAAAAAATTAAGAGGGTTCACGTTTTTTTTCAACAACCCAAGTTATACATAGATAATGGGTTAAAATAGATAAAAGTACAATAAAAAATACTTTCACTTTTGTTCCAGAGTTGTTCCAAAAATCTGCACTAAATAAAATTTATGTAGATTTTTCTGCAGAGATAATGCCGGGAAAGAAGGAAAGATTAATGCTGGGAATAAGTCAAAAGGACCGACTTTCAAATCAATTGGTAACGAACAAGACGGGGATATGAGTCATTGTTGAGACTATTTTACATCTAAAATGGAATTGTGCCTGACCTGTTGGTAGAATAACGGATGAGCGATGGGCAAGAAAAATAGTAAAATGGCGTCCGAGACATAAAGCGTACAGAAGTAAAGCCAAGCCACCCAGTAGATCGATCGACGACATAAAAAGAATCGGTGAAAACTGGATAAAAAAGACACAAGAGAAAAATGGACAATTTAGTAGTATTTTAAGATATATATATATATATATATATATATATATATATATATATATATAATATATATATATATACTTAATATTATTCCCGTATATGCACCGGATAACAACAAAAACAAGGAAGACAAAGATGCTTTTCATGAACAGCTCCAAGATCTAATGGACACCACAATGGCCGGTAGTAAAACAGTAATTCTCGGCGACCTAAACGTCAGAGTGGGCAACATACCTGTGGCTGGAGTTACACAACCTCCGAATTTTTTTTTCCTTGGCTTGGACAATTGTCATTCAGCCAGTCTCCATCAACATAAGTTTTGTTAAAGAATTTAAATATGTCAATTAGTGAAACATGATTAATATAATAATAATAACAGCTAAGCTAATGTACATACTATGTTAATAAATGCTATACCATATCTTTATTATAATTTTGTTATTGAGAGACGCCATCAGAAATTCATAGTGTATAATCTTACAAATAAAAAAAATAAAAATAAAGATATCTACCTACTATGTTAATAACTATAACTATGGTAATACATATTTTTTTTCCACTACGTTAGGACATAAACCCGATTCAACATCTCGGAGGTTTAGATCCTCTTAGTGATTGTTTTAGTATATTTTTATTTTTTTTTCTTATTTTGTTTTTTTTTAATGTATTTTTATAATCATCTTTTTTCTTTTTTTTTATTTATTTTTTTTTTCTTTTTAAATATATTTTTTTAAGTATTTTTTTATTCTTTTTATTTTCTTTTTTTTTTAACTTTTTTTTTAATATTTTTTTTTAATTTTTTTTTCATGAATTTTTTCTAAACATAGGTTACAAATCTTACTAATTACAGGCATACTTTACTATCAGACAAAAAGGTTATCAAGCAGTTATACATTTTCTTCTCATTGAGTGATAGTAGAAAGAGAATATTAACAGGAAGAGGGATGTTCTTGTCTATCATTCTTTTAATTAGGTTTTTGGTGGGTTGTTTATACCTTTGACATTCAAAAAATATGTGGTTTAAGTCACTTTTAATCTGACATTGTTGACAAATATTCGAATCTAATATATTTATTTTAAATAAATGTACAGGATAACATGCATGGCCAAATCTAAGTCTACTGATGGTAGTTATGTATTTGCGAGGGAGGACGAAATTCTTTTACCAAGGTTGTTTTGGAATAATTGGTTGTATCAAACTGTATTGTGTTGTTGAAATACTACAGTACTTTTCCCAGTGTTCTCTCCAGTTGTTCATTTGTTTAGTTCTTGAACAAGCAAAAGCATCTATAATGCAAGGTTGATAGTTGGTAAGTGTTCCATAAACGATGGAATTTTTTGCTAACTGGTCCACGTGTTCATTATATGTAAGTCCTGAATGTGCTTTGATCCACATCAATTATTGTATTTTTTGCGTGTATTTATTAATTTCAAATAAGCAATTTTTAATTAAAAAAATGTATGGATTAGAAGTACTACAGGGTAGTTGCGGTTTTTGAATAGCTGTAAGTACAGATAATGAATCAGATAAAATTACTGCTGAACTATACGATGCCAATTTAAAATAATTTAAAGCCTCACATATGGCTACAGCCTCAGCACTAAAAATAGAGAAATTTGTGGGCAGCTTAAACATTTTTCCTATAAATTTATCTGGAATATAAAAGGCACAACCAGTACCCTTTGAACTTTTAGATGCGTCTGTATAAATACAAACAGATTTTGGCCAGTTTGTCAGATAGTTGTTTAAAACAATACGACTTATTAAAGGGTTCTTTAACCTCCGAATTAACAACACATACTTTGACAACCCAGTACAACATAAGATCACCTGGTCAGATACAAGAGGACGTAACTTTATGATTGATTACATTATAACAAACAGACAAATACACCCCAAGAATATAATAGATGTGCGCACTCTATCTTCCGCTAATGTAGGATCCGACCATGGCCTGGTACTAGGAAAAATAAATATAGCAATCACCACAAAAGGCAAGCGAAATACAAAAGTAGAAGAAAAGTTAAACATAGAAAGCTTAGAAGAAGAAGGGACACAAAACTTGTATAGAAACAGACTAACAGAAAAGCTAAATAGCCATAACCTAGAGACTAAAAAGAATATAGAAGAAACATGGAAAATTATTTAAAAAATGTATCCTACAAGCAGCGGAAGAAGCTTTAGGTAAAGTAAAAATTAACAGAAAGAAACGGGAATACAAAACTCCATTTTACGACGAAAGGTAAAAGCACTAGCAAATGAAAAGAAACAAGCTTTCCTAACATACAAAGGAGTGAAGACACCGGAGGCACAAGAAAACTACGTGGGAATCAGGAATAGAGTAAACCAAGAAATAGATAACATCAAAAAAGAACACTGGGAGAAATTTACCAAAGATATGGAATACGACCTCTATGGATCAGAAAAAGGTGTGGAAGATAGGGAGACAAAAAACAGAAATGAATGAATTTGCACGCATAGATAACATTACGAAGGAACAATGGACTGAGCATTTCACGAAATTATATGGAGAAGGAGAAGAAGAGAACAGAGAAATAATCAACCAAACCCACGATAGAGTACTAATATCAGAAGAGCTACAAGAACGAATAAAAAAATTAAAAAACAGAAAAGTACTTGGTCCTGATAAGATAAACAAGGAACTGCTAAAATATGGAGGAACAACACTACGCAAATGGCTGCTAAAATTATACGTCGATATAGTAGTAGTATCAGCGAAATGGAAGGAAGTCTCCTGTTACCGATACATAAAAAGGGAGACTCGAGAAATCCTGAAAATCATAGAGGAATTAGTTTGATCATAGTACATTAAAATTGTTAACGGCAGTCAAAAAAGACAAAATCGAGAAAAAAGCGAACATGGCAGATGAACAACAAAGCTTCCGGAAGAACCGCAGTACAATAGACGCAATTTTATTATCAGACAAATAATAGAAAAGTCTATTGAATATGGAAAACCAGCATACATGTGCTTTGTAGATATAAAAAGTGCTCTTGACAGGGTAAAGCGAAATGACATCTTAAATTTATTACAAGCTGAACAAATAGACCATCAGATAATAAGGACAATTAATGAAATTAACTAGAATAACAAGACCAGAGTTATAATGCCAACATAATGCATAGAACTAAAAGGAGGAATCCGCCAAAGAGACTCACTCAACCCATTGATATTCAATATGGTGATGAATCAAATAATTTACGAAGTAAGAAAACGACACGGATACCACATGGGAGAGCATAAAATCACGATACTATGCTATGTCGATGATGCAGTACTAATTGCTGATATCGAAGATGACTTACAAAGGCAGCTCCACACCTTTAATATTACAGCAAACAAACTTAATATAAGAATATCAGTAGAAAAAACTAAATGTATAGTGATCAGTAAAGAGCCGTGTAGATGCAAACTAGAAATAGACGGCAAAATTGTAGAACAAGTAATGAAATTAAATTACCTAGGAGTAGATATGACTAGTGATAGGGATATAAGAACAGAGACCACAAGACAAGTATCAAAAGCGTCAAGAGTAAGTGGTTGCCTCCAAGAAACCATATGGAGAAACAAATATCCGACCACGGAAAGCAAAATGAAAGTATACAAGACAACAGTAAGATCAATTCTAACATACGCAGCGGAGACAAGGACCGATACAAGAAAGACGAAACAAAAAATCAACAATCTCTAAATGAAAGTATTAAGATCAATATCGGACATATCATTAAGAGACAGACAAACCAGCAGAAGTATACGCGAACAATGCAAAATATAAAATATTAACAGGTGGATAAAAACAATAAAAAAAACTGGATGGGACCAGATAGATTAGCGAACATATGTAAAAACAACCAGCCGTATAGCAGAAGACCTGTTGGAAGGCTGCCAAAAAGGTGGAAAGATAATGTACAGTCAACAACGACTGAAACAGAATAAGAGGCAGACAAACAGGAGTAATCATAGTCGCACGAAGAAGAAGAAGACGATAAGATATATAGAATAAATCTATATAACTTTTTGTTTGTATTTTCGAACACAACCCCTAAACAAAATTATCACCAGCCGTCACTATTTGCTGTCCCAGACTATAAAGGATTTTTCGTATTACTTTTTTCAATCGATTTTGTTGTTAATTCTTTTTTTAATCTTGCAGTACTTTAGTTATTCTTGAAAAAATAATGACCCAAATAAGTAGAGGTCATATGTTCTCGTACTCACTATAAATCTCATTTGGGCGAAAATTCATTTGTTAAAATGTTTGTTTTTGGCGATTTTGTTTACAGCGAATAAAACAAAGTAAAATTAGCATATCTGTTAGTTTCTTTGTGGAATACATTTTAATTCGAAAGCGAAATTAAATATCTCGATACGTCCATTCGAACAATAGAAAAGAAGCTAAGTGATTGTCATGCCGATCACTTTAATCATTTCTAGTTCAATGTCACTTTCGCTTGGATTCAGAGAAATAAATTATTGATGGATTTTACCTGGTAGATTAAACTTCTATTTCAAGAATATTTTATATTGAACAGTATATTTTTTATTTAACAATTTATTTAATAAACTTTAACTTAAGAACATCATAGCATGTAGTTTGTATTTAAAAACAAAGCCACATGGAATATATTTGGTTAAGTTGTTGTTTACTTTCAGAACGAACATCAACTAAAATAAATATATTAAGAACAACAACAACCAAAAGAAAAAGCACTTAAACAGTGGTGTCCTATGTAAACTTACATGTGGTGACTTTCCAAAAATTGACATCGGTCAAACTGGTATAAACTTTAAAAAACGTAAAGCAGAACACAAAACGACGTTCAATAATAGAAAAACAGATTATAAGTACGCATTTTACCTTCTAGATCATAATCATTATTTTAGTGACCAATTTTTAATTCTCCACATTCAAAATAACAGCCTTAAACTATGTTTATTAGAATCTAAGGAAATTAATAAATTAAAAAACTACAGATATAATTCTGAATGACCAACTTGAAACACACAGCTCTGCCTTCCTTAACTTATTCAGTTTGAGGCTATAAAATGTATAGAGAAAGATTAGTAGAAGCGTAGTAAAAATCGATCACTTGAGGAAGGCACTCGGCCGAAACAGCTGGAGTGGTAATTAATTATGATAAATTTTGTAAACATGTTGAAAACAATAGTTTTCAGCATTTTATTGATAGAAATAATTAATTATAAAAATTTAGTTAGAACACTACACTTACCTGTACAGGACCTCCAAATATTTTTGCTAAATCCATTTGCAACACTTTTTGAAGAAACGTATCATTTTGTAAATTTATTATTAAGCCATATTCCGTTTGAACTGTACTAGTCACATTCAATTTCGGAAAAACCGTTTTTAATTTTTGAATGCAAAGATCTGGAGTCTCATTTTCGCACGATGTTATATATAATGTGACAGAACCATCATTTATGATCTATAAAAAACAAAATATGAAATTTGCCGATTTTAAAAAAGCATATAACAATCGCAGAAGAAATATATTACGAAGTTGAATACGTTTGTAATTTATTAGAGATACAAATAAATCTGCAACATCGATATTGGAAATATATTTTATTATTAATAACAATTATAAAAGAACCATTTTATTTAACGTATTAACTACCGGATAGAAATCTATTTTTTATAATAGATTTCTATAAAAAAGTGTACCTGATCGAGACTTGAGGCTTAACTATTGGGAAATTCCTAACCTAACCTAACCTAAGAAAGAAAAGATATCATATCCTGGAGACACAAGTATCTCAGACAAATAAAAATATTGAGGAAGAAGGATAATGTGAGCCTTGTTTATACTGATGAGTCTACTGGATTGAAAACTCCAACCTAAAGAAGTCCTCGCTTTGTTCTTCTTCATGCTGGAAGCGAAATTCCATTTCAGATTCACTGCTTTCTTCATAATCTAAGGAATCTTCAACTCCAATGTTAATTATTACCGGTTCCAGCATTGCATTAGTCATATTATCCAAATTCCACATTTTATTTTCTTTCTTGTGAGCATGACTAACAGCATTTTTCCAATTTTCTGGAGTTACTTTTGATAAGGAATGTTCTAATAATTGTTGTAAGTCTTCTAATTTAAAAGTTTTGTTGTTGCGTCCGACTACACCCTTTACTTGAGACCATATATTTTCTATCGGATTCAGATCACAGTGGTATGGGGGTAAACGTATCTCTCCTTTTTTCCATGCCGTTGTTGGAAATTTTTCTGCTAGTCTTGAATGGTAACTAGCATTATCGATGACTATGACAGAATTTTTTGGAATTAAATCCAACATTTGCTCAAAATTTTCTTCAAAAACGTCAGCAGTCATTTCATCGTGGTAATATTTGGTTGATTTTGAGGCAAAACTTAATAATCCACCATTGACAAAAGGTATTCGTTTCCAATATGGGTTATTATGAGTCTGCGTCCTTTTTCAACGGGAATATTGTTTATTCCAGTAGATACACCTTCGATGAATGCCTGACGGGAACTTTTCACATTTGTATCTTCCCATAGATATGGTACAACATGACCTTCATTTAGCCAAGTCTCGTCCAAATAAAAAATTGTTTTCTCTTCTTCGCGGTACTTTTTAATAGTTCTTAGATAATCTCGTCTATGTAATCTTTTTCAATTAAAACGGATCTTCTTCTATTCTTTTGCCAACGAAATCCCATCTCTCTCAATAGTCCCCATAATTTCTTGTTGTTTATGATTGGTAACTCTTCGTTTTCTCTAATTAATGTTTGGATTTTGTCCAATGTTGGAAATTCTTTGTTAAAAAAAAAAAATGAGTGGACGCTGCATCTTATCATGTTTTTATGTATTTCTTCAATTTTCAAGGGTTTACTCCCTTCACTCTTCTTGGGAGATGAAACAGTTCCTCCTTTTCTTTCTTTTAGGAATCTATAAATTGTTGCTTTTCCAACCCCTGTCATATTTGAACACATGTTAACGATTTCACAAACATTACTTAAAGGGCATTGATGTACAAGTGCATCGTGTACATTTAATATTATATTTTTCTCTCTTAGACTGAAGGCACCTTTAAAACTACACTTAACCGGGATCAAACCTGTTGTCGACGTCATTTTTAAATGCAAATAACAAAATATCGACACCAAAAACGTAGGTAGAACATGAACAATGTACATCTACAAACCAAATGGCAGATGCAAACAATTTCTAATTTATATTATTGGCATAAGCTGTAATGTGGCATAAAAACTACTTAAACTATCATTAGTGAAGCCTTATCAGTAATTCCAGGTAATCATTCAAAGAAGGTATTCTTTTTGTGTCAGGCGATAACTTGTATAGAAAACAATAATCACCTTTAAATTACTATTTACATTAATTTATTTCGTAAAACAATTCTCTCGTTAATCCCCCGTGTATAATTAACAATAATCGTGTGGTATATATAGCGACATTTTTTACGCACAAAAAAGATATAGTGAGATTAGTGGACACTTATTTTACAGAAGATTTTTTAAAAGATAATGAATTGTTGACGGCATCTTAAAATATTAATTTTTTTTATTTATTTCAAAACAAGTATAGGGTGACGCCTATGGTTTTTTGACTTGTTGAGGATTTGCATACATAATGTGCTATCAATATGATGGAAAAGGACTATAAAAATTTTTGAAATGAACCGCGTGCGGTCCTAATTTCTCAGTCTATCGCCAAACTATCACACACCCATCACTTTGCCGACATGAGCGGCATCGCTGCACGCCGTAAGATCAACACTGCATTATAACTGTGGCTATTACTATAGAATGGATAAAAATCGATAAACTAAACAAATACCAAATTACAAATCGATATAGCATAGATAAGACCAGAACATCTTAAATAAGACAGTTCTTCTAATAGAAATTATTTTATATCGGATGTTTTATGTACTTACACTAGTATTTTCCGTTGTTCCTTGTCTTGCTATTCTTGTCGTATTTTCTGTACTTGCACCTGTATTTTCCGTTGTTCCCTGCTGTTTTGCTGTTTTTATCGCATTTTCATTTGCTGTCAGAGGTGTTTTGTCCAATTCAACGTCAAATTCGATCATTATAATCTATTCTTCTGCAAGTATTTGGTTTAGCAGTTTCTACAATATATAAAATAAGTTATTGACGAGAGTAATACAATCGAATAGAAAATTAATTTATTGCATTTAAAATTTTTGAATGTAACTGGCAACGTAGTGCTGATCGTGTAAATAATAATCGTTTTTAGCTCCTGTATTGAACTCGAGTTTTTAGCGAAGTGCAGAGAATAATAATTATATCCAACGCTTAAAGTGTGAAGTTAACGGGGTAATCTTAGCTTAGAGCGAAAAATAATAATGAAAATATTCAAAGTTTGCTTTAAATTGGCAGTGTAAATACACAAGTACAAGTAAGGTTAACAGATAAACAGATAAAACGTCATTAATATTGAAGCTGGTCCTGGTCCATTGGAAAGAGGTGTTGAAAAATCCTCAGTGAAGTCCTGTAATCCGGGCGAGGCCCTATCGCGATGAAACTGACCATATTTAATGAGAAGAGGAGAGAAGGGCAAAGAGCAGAATCGAATGGAAAGCGACTATACCACAACAGACCAACAGACGAATATGACAAGAGGAGAAAAAAAGATCAAAAGAAACAGCTACAGCGTGCTTTTAGCAAGTCGAAAAATAAGCAGATCTCCCACCGATAAAAGACAGAAAATGGAGGAAACCGTATAAAAAATTATGGAAATGATGGCAGGAGTAAGTAAAAAGATTGAAGAAAAATCAAATGAATTTAGTGAAATCCGTAAAGAGTAAAAATAATGTAGAGAAGATATAAGAGAGACAATAGAGTGTAACATTAAAAATACAAAGTTCAAATAGGTAGTTTTTCAAATATAAAGTTTAGTAAATGAAAAAAGGCGTAAAAGTAAGATATACAGAGCTTGAACATGGATACAAATAACCCATACACTTTAAAAAATGTAATGAACAATTTTATGATGTAGGTAGAATTAGCAGTAGGATGTTTAAATAGGGAAGGTTCTGAAATTGGGAGAAAAAATCTGTCTGGTTGAACTAGAAGGAAAAAAAATCATTCAAAATAACAGTAAATTAAGAAATTCACTCCGGTCATAAAATATGGCACTGGGATGGCATCAAAGAAATGTTGATGGTAGAGACCAAAGTAAAATCCTAAGCACTAGCAGGAGAAGGAAATAAATGGCGACGAACAATGTGATGAACAGGATTACGATCGATGGAAATGAAAAAAAAAAAAAAAAATAAGACAGGAAAAAGAACAAGATATAGTTGGCAACATGGAATGTCACAGGAACCTTTGCTCTTTAAAAGTGAAGAAACAGACATAATGCTGGGAACTGATTTTTGGTAGCTAAATATCTCAAGAGCAAAGTGATAGCTTTGAATACTGTCTCTGATAGGACGAGTTGAATACGTTTTAAAAGTAATAAAACGAACTGAAGTATAATCAATATTCATGCACCGTCTAAAGACAAGGACGACTAATAAAGGATCTTTACTCCAAACAGCTAAATGACGAATACGAATGCTTACCTAAACGTGTTGTAAAAGTAATAATGGGTGATTGTAGGAAAAGATTATCTGTACATACAACATGACATCAAAATAATATTAGGGGACTTAAACGCAAAAATAGGCAAAGAAGAACACATAAGGCCGGTAGCTGGAAATCAGAGTCTACATGACATTACCAATGACAATGGTTCAAGGCTGATTGAGTTTGCAGCAGGGTGCAAAATGATTATCAAAAGCACCCAATTTGCCAGGAAAAACATATATAAGGTAACATGGAGATCAAATGATGGAAAAAGGAGGAACCAAATTGATCACGTATTAATTGATGGGAGGCATTCCAGTAGTATAATAGACGTAAGAACTAGACGGGGACCAGATAGTGATACAGACCATTTCCTAGTAAAGGCCAAGCTCAGAACTAGAATCTCAACACAAACAACAGACAAACAGATGAAGATCGAAAGATGGAATGTGTCTAAATTGGAAGAAGAAGAGGGAAAAAGACAATACCAATTAGAATTGAGAAACAGATTCCAGGTGTTGGAAACGAAAGAAAATGAAAGAGAAAATATAGACCAGAAATGGCACTCCATTAAAACGATCATTACAGAAACAGCAGAGAAGTGTATAGAAGAGAAAAGCAAAAAGAAAAAAATGGTTTGATGAAGAATGCGAGGATACCTTAAAAGAAGCAAACAAAAGAAGAATCGACTACCTAGCAAACCCGACGGATGAAAAGGGTGAACAATACAATAGAGAGAGAGCCTTAGCTAGAAGAACAGTAAGGAAAAAAAGAGACAACAAAAAAGAGACAACATTTACAACAACAAGTTGAAAAAGTAGAACGTGAACACAGAAGCAAGCAAAATAAAAAATTCTACAAAGAAGTAAGACAACATAAGAAAGGTGCATATATAAGAACACCGAACTTTGTGAGAGACAAAAATGAACAAATGATTACAGCTGAAAATAAAATAATCGAAAGATGGGCTGAATACTTTGAAAGTCTGCTAAATGTCCAGGCAACAGAAATAGCACAGACAACACTGGAAGTTAAGGATATAGTATCGAACTTTGAAGAAGCAACACTAAGCGTAGGCCTGAAAATAAACGAAGAAAAAACTAAATACATGGTCGTATCAAAAAAGGAACGACAGCGAATAAGACAAAACATTACCATAAACGATTATAATTTTGAGGTAGTCAAAGAATTCAAATACCTAGGAGCAACAATTACCAGTGAAAACACAGGAGAACGGGAGGTTGAAATACGAATACTGGCGGGGAATAAATCATTCTTTGTCATTCAACATCTAATGAGGTCAAAGCTTCTCTCAAGGCGTGCCAAAATCAAAATGTACAAAACCATAATACGACCAGCAGTGACATATGGAAGTGAAACATGGACATTGAGAAAGAAAGAAATCAATAAGCTATTAGTATGGGAACGCAAAATCCTGCGAATTATATATGGTCCTTGCAGGGACAGCGTAACAAATGAATGGAGGAGCAGATACAACAATGAAATAGAGACTCTCTTCGGGAAAGGAAACATCGTAAGATACATAAAAGCCAATAGATTAAGATGGGCAGGCTACGTGGTACGGAGTGATGACGACAGACTGATTAGCAATGTGTTTTGGGAAAGACCAGATGGTAAAAGATCGACAGGAAGGCCTAGAAAAAGGTGGAAAGACGCTGTCAGGGAAGACCTGGAGAAGATGGAAGTAAGGCCATGGGAAATAATAGCACAGGATCGGAATCAATGGAAGGCAATAGAAAACGCGGCAAAAACTCACGAAGAGTTGTAAAAGCCAATGATGATGATGATGATCATCTGTACACTTCAGTAACTAGTAAGCACAGTAAACATGACGTATCCAACGATAATAGTCAAATACTTATTACAAAAAGAGGTTTAAATCTTTGTAAGTAGGTATATTTAAAAAACCCTTAAAAGGGCTACATCAAAATAACAAACGTTTTCGGAATAATAATTCCATCATCAGGCTAAAAGCAGGTTAACATGCCTAAGCCACCAAAATATTACGGTAAAAACCCTTTAAAGTAAATAAAGTTACCAAAGATTGTACATATTGTTGTTAAAAATTAATGATGTTTAATATTTTATTAAATTTCACTTCAGGTAACATACACCCATGCCTTACGTGAGTACCAGCGTCCGGAGGGTAGACCTCTTCAAACGGACTTCAGCTGGTAACTCTTGTTTGAAGACCGTTTGAAGAGGTCTACCCTCCGGACAGTCTACCCACAGTGTATAAATTCCAATTTATTCAGCTGTAAGTTTGAGGTAAGAAAATTTGTTTGCAATATTAAAGTTTTTATTGAAATATAATAGTTAACATTATTCATGGAGATGTTTCAAATAATGTTAAAGTTTATGACGGAGTATCAGACATGTGAATACCAGGTGTCCCTTAAATAATGCACGACAAATTAGAGTGAGTTTGTGATCCTGGAGGTAAATTCAAAATTTCGAAACTAGTGACGATGTTCCTCGTCCCTCTTTTTTGTCTGGTTCGCTTATTACGAAAGGATTTGTATGCGATGTGTAGAACGCTAGTCCAAACTACGTAAAAATTTGACTTCTCCCGAAGAACAACTGGGGGTTGAACTTCGGGATCGTGTAGTGTATAATGAAATACCAGTAGTTCCGAAAAAAAGAGGTTAAATCTTTGTAAATGGTAAATGTAAAAATTAAAAAAAAAACTCTTAAAATGGCTACATCCAATTAACACGAACGTTTTCGGAATAATAATTCTATCATCAGGTTAAAGATGCAGGTTAACATACCTGGGCCACCCAAATATTAGGGTAAAAACCCTTTAAAATAAGTAAGGTTAACAAAGATTGTACATATTTTTGTACATATTTGATGTTTAATATTTAATTATATTTTACTTCTGGTAACATACACCCATGCCTTAAGTGGGTTTCAGCGTCGGAGAGTAAACCTCTTCAAACGGACTTCAGCTGGTAACTATGGTAACTATGGAATTATTATTCCGAAAACGTTCGTGTTCATTTGATGTAGCCCTTTTAAGGGTTTTTTAAATATACCCATTTACAAAGATTTAACCTCTTTTTTTGTGATATGTGGTATACAGCCAGCTGCAGGAATTATTTTCCTTGTGGATTCCGTAATTTACTTTATAATTTACTTTCCTCCTTTTCAGGTTACCATCCGTCAATTTTGGTGATAAGTAGCTTCACGTATTTGAAAATCTTTAAAATCTTTGTTCTCGTAATTGTACAAACAAGGAAATTCACTTGCTGCATTAAGATGTAACATAATTGTTACAATACATTTTGTTATAAAAGTTTGGCAGGATTAACGTGTTACAAATACTGTTCAGGCGTTTACTGAAAGTTTATCTACTGAATTAAAATTTCAAACTAATAAAGCTCGTCGTTTGATTATCACTCTCATTGGAGGAGATAAAGTATTTGTTGATTTAGGTTTGTTAAACTACGTTTCAAACACTACGAAAGACTATCATGAAGAAATGAATGTTTTCGGAGATTATTTTGCTGAAATG